ATGACTCGTGCCATGCATGATGAATTGGCTTTTCAATTGGAATGAAAGTTCTTTAATGCTCATTTAAGACTTTGTGTTGATTAAGCGATGAGCCAAACTATTGCATTTCTCCATTTGACCCTTGTTGAAAATATGTTGTTACACAGTCATGTTGAAAATTCACAAGTTCATATTCAAATTCATGTTTGAGTATCAAGCTCAAGCTTGCGTGTGAGTAGAAGTTCAAAGTTTCCTTGTCCAATCTTGAGTCCTTGTTTTGAGTTTAGTCTCTAATTCTTCCTCCATATGGTCCCACTTGCTTGAGTTTCAAACGTCCAAGATCATGTCAAAGTTATTTGCATTTGTTCTTTTGAGATCATCAAATCCAGTGTCCCAAATTGTTACAAGTCCTTGTCTGTATTTCAGAAAAAAATTCGGCAATCTCCCGCGCGTTCCCCCGTTTGGGGGAAAAAGCCAAGAGGCCGCCTACCGCCACGTCAATAAAGATGTGCACGGATTGGTGTTGTGAGACACCGCGGCAGTGATATTTTTTATTTTTCTCCCACCACGCGCAATAAAGGGTGCATGGGATTTTAAAAAGCATTTTTATTTTTATGAAAAAGGGCAGTTTTACTCCCCCCGTCGGGTACTTATAAGTTTATCCGCTTCACCGTACGTTCCGCACCGGGGTCCCATCCCACCACGCGCAACAAAAGCATGCTTGGGGGCGGTTTTCCGGTTCGCCAGCGAAACATTGAAGTAGAGTTTTGAGTTTAAGAAGAATTCATACCTTCGCGGGTTTCGGTGTTGGCACGGATCGAGGGGTCACTCGCCACCTCGTCGTAGGTGTCACACCGGGGTCCCATCCCACCATTGCGCACTAAAGACGTGCTTGGGGCGTGTTTACCGGTCTGACTGAACATGAGGTAAGAGAGGGAGGGGGAGCAACTTTTTTAATAATTAAAAAAAATTAATTATAATTAATTTAAATTTAACTAATTATTAATCCATTATATTTAATTATAATTAAATATATTTAATATATAATTAATTTGACTAAATAAATTTAATTACTAATAATTATTAATTTAATAATAATAATCATTCATAATTAAAATAAATTTATTATGAATGATTATGTTTATTATAATTAATATAAATTGTAATTTTAATATATAATCAATTATTATATTAAATATTAATAATAATAATTAATATTATGATAATTAATTTATAATAGAATTAAGTTAATTATAACATATAATTTAAATTAATATATAATAATAATAAAAATAAATAAAAATCCCTCTCTCCCTCTGCATTTCACAGGAGTTTGGCTCAAAGCGAATGAAAGCGGAGAGTTCCTTCACAACCCGGCTGAGCTCCTGTTTGTTACTTCCGTTCAAATGTTGTAATACGATTAACAGGGGACGTTCGAAAGCAGTCAGGCGGCATAGGGGTTCTCGGCAAGAAGCCTCTTTCTCGTCTCTCTCTCTCTCTCTCTCTCTCTCTCTCTCTCTCTCTCTCTCTCTCTCTCTTCTCTCTGGACCGAAAGAAGCAAAGGGCTCGAAATGGAGAGAGACGGCGGCTGGGGTTCGGAAGTGGCTACGGAAGTCGGAGCTTGACGGGATCCAGGCGTCGGTTTGAGGGAGTCTGGCTATGGCTTGGATCGGACTGGGCTTGAGCTCGGTCAGAGGCTTTGATCATGAAATGGAAGAGAGGAGGGAGCAACGAATGGGAGAGGGCAGGAGTTCGTGTGTGTGGGATCGAACAGAAGGAAGCCGCCAGCGAAAACCTCGTTTGGGTCGGGTATTTAACGACGCGAGCGGGTAGAGATCGAGAGCGGGCTTCAAGCAGAAATCACGGGATGCGAATGTTCGGAGCCGATTTCAGCCGGATTAGCGGCAGGTTTCGTGGATCCAACGGTTTACAGGTATTATTTTTCGTTCTTTTGGGTTTATCTGTGGAGGTCAACAGATATCAATAAGGTGGTGGTCATCCTGTACGAGCCTCCTGAGCTGCTGTCTCCCGTTCCTCTCTCCATGTGCCTTTGATCATCCACCAACTGAGCTTTTCCCAAGTCACAATGCCTCATCGCTCTAACTGCTACGCGGATCTCTGATTTCAGTCCCTTCATAAAGTTCCCCTCCAGTACAGTCTCTGGAAGCCAATCTAACTAGAGAGGTACTCAAATTGCTCACAGTACTCCACCACTATCACCTCCTACATCAAAGTGAAGAACTGCTCATCGAAAACCCCTGCTGGTTTGGAAACATTCCAACAAGCAGTCCTTAAACTCCCTCAAGGTTCGTATCGGTCGTCTAGTATCCCTCCACAAGTACCATGCTAAAGCCTTCCCTTCCAAGCACATCCCGACTGTCGTCCGTCTCTCCCCCTCCGTCAACCTTGTAGATCCCCCCATGGGCATCCTCTCCCTCAAAAAATAGGCATATTCAACTTCCTCACGCTCAGATCGCCCCCGTCACCTATGTTCCCCTCATAATTTCTCCTTCCCCAAGGGGGTGATTCCCCCCAAGTGTCCCAATCATCCCTTTTACATTCATACCCAAGCCTTTCATAAAATTCTCACCTTCTCCTTTCAAATTTAGCACCCCTTGGATCATAATAAACCCTCCCTTTTCAAATTCAACCCCTTTTTGGTCATAATTACTCCCTTCCCTTTAAAATCCCATCCCTCTCTTCTCTAAATCAGCACAAATTAGTTCTTACCCTACCTCCTCCCCCTCCCCATACCCTCTTTCCGACTCCTCCCAAGGAATAAGCCCTCTGAGAGGCATTTTTTCTATTCCCTCCAAAATGCCCACCTCTTGATCTTCCCTTTGTCTGATTGGCTTAGGATTTTCCCCACTTCCCTGGCTATCTACGCCTTCCCTCACCTCTGATGGCAATATTTTGGTTTGACCCTCGAACACTTTCTTCAACATCTCCTATAGGATGGAAAATTTTAAATCAATCTTATTATGGATGATTGAAATATCATTTTTTAAATCTGAAACTTGAGGTTAGAGATATGAAATTTTAAATTTCATTTGTCTGATCTCCTCTTCTAATACTTTTACCTTTCTTCCCGTCATAAGTCCCCAGATCTTTATTAGGGTCGAAAATCAGGATTTCCACCACAAAATAGCAAAAATTACGAAATGAAATAAAAAAAAAAAAAACTGTTGTAGGAATTCCCCAAAAACAATATGGAAATCGCTCTAATACCAATTTGATAGGAAGCACTTATAGATCTCAAGTAATTCATATCAATCTTTGGAAAACAGCGAGAATTCTCAACAAAAATCCACATAAAACTAGGAAAAAACATTAGATAATTTGTATTATTTGATGAAATGGAAACAAAAAATACCAAGATACAATTGATCCTCTATTCGAGAGGAGGATCTATCTCTCCCAATTCTCTAGATGCCGTTAGAGCCCAAAACCTAAGAGAGATCTCAAATTTCAGCCAAATTCAAGATGCCCTGCCCTAGGAAACAAAACCATTTAATCCATACAATCCAAAAGAAAATCTCCAAACAATCCCTACATTCAAATTTCCCTCCTAAACTTCTTCTAAAACCTTCCTAATATGATCTTTTGGACTATACGGTTTGATCGGCATAACCAGGAGGTGGAACTTCTCCGCCTTTGTTGCTCGCAAGCCTATCCCGTATGGACCGGCTGGACTGGTCCAGTGAACTGGTCTAACACCATCCTACCATCCTACCAAGTAAATAATTATAAGATGGCTCCTAGAATCACCTATAGATTTGTACCCTACACTCTTCTTAGATGAGATGGATGGAGTGTAAGATTGAGGATGACACTCCATCTTTATCACTCTTCCTTCCATGCTTTTTAATGGAGCTATTGAATAGTGGAAGTTTTTGGTACAAAGGTTATGCATAATTGTTTTTAAGAATATTTTTTCTCTTAGATTTTTAATGAATAAATGTTACTCATATATTTAATAATTTATGCCATTTTAATAAAAATGCACCATGCCATGTGCCATATACTATAGCTACATAGGACCCCTGTGCCATAGGCCATTATTCACTATCAACAACTAATGGTTGAATTATAGAGATGCAACATTTTTTTTTTTTTTGAACTTATTTATACTAGATGGAGATCATAGAAAAATGTATATTAATAGTATTGCAATGTTTTATTCCTAACAAGGCCAATGTAATTGATAATATGTTTAAATAATGCATTTAGAAGCATTGAGTTGAAAATCATTAACAAGGTCATGAGATTAAATTAATAATGAGCAGGAAACAAAGAAGTTGAACAAAAAATAGTAAGGTCACAAGTTTTTCCAAAAATTATGCTAAACAGACACAGGAAAGCTTGGTTTTTTTGTTCAAGTTTAACTAGTATTTATCTTCATGAAATTCAATGTCTTATCAGCCTCACATAAAGTAAAACTTCCCAATAAGATGTTAATTTCCACTAAAGCCATGCATAGACAGCATGGTGTTATGATCTCTTTGAGATTAAACAAGTTTAAACAATATCATCAATATTAGATTAACATTCAAAAGTTTTGTAGTGATAGAAAAAAAACATACACTAGAATCAATAGTCAAAGTTGTTCCCTCAAAAAGAGAAAAGATGTTGCATTCCCTATTCCTATGATCGTTTTCTTCAGTTTATGAACCACATTAGCTACAACACAGCTCTTATTTAGGGGTATATCAATCGGCGACCCATTTTTAATAAGTCAATGTGCAAGAATTTATAAGCTTTGGTTCGTTCAGTCAAGCAAAAAGGATAAAAGAGAATACAATTAATCAACAATCAAGATTAATCTTGAATGGCAACAACCAGAAAGGCAGAATGCAACCATCATGAATGATAGACAGAGCCTAAAATGTAAATAAAATAAAATAAAAAAACCTAAAGAAAAGCAATGTTAGAAACATTGAGAGAATTTCCAAAAACGTAAGGAAATCAACCGACGAAAAAAAAAATAAGCTAAGGTTTAATGTATTCATAATGTAATTTACCTGGCAGCATATTCAGAAAAGTGCTTCCCTGACTGTCGTTGCCTAAGCGTGTGCAAATCACCACCTGGACAGAATTCCATGACTAAGCACGAAAACCTGTCAGTTTCAAAATGAGTATACAGAGTTGGAAGAAAAGGGTGATCCAGAAGCTGAAGAATATCCCTTTCTGTCAGAGCCCTTGTCAGTTTCTTTCTGCTTGCAAGGGAGGCCTTGTCCATCACTTTCATTGCAAAGTAGCATCTAGTCCCACTCAACCCTGAGAGGTAAACACTGCCAATATCACCACATCCCAGCCGTTTGAGCAATTTAAAATGGCTCATACCCAATAAACCATCTCGCGACCGAGCCGCGATAATGGCCTTCCATCTTGGATCATTTCCCTTGTGAGGCTTATTAGCACTCCCAGTAATATTACTCCAATTGCTATCATCACTGAGCCCACTGCTATCGCTTGCTCTGCTCATGCTTGTTTTTGCACTCTCAACTAAATCACCCATAGCACACGCTTTTGTACTCTCACAATTCATTTCCTCGCTAAGTATACCATCACTAGTAACCCCATCACTCCTGTAAGTACTAGTGCAGCTATTAATGGCACTCTTTGTAGTTACAATAGTGCTGCCAATGCTACTGAGTGGACTGACATTGCTACTAGGTGGCAGGGAAGCATCCCATACACACTCCTTTTCTGTTGAATCCTGCATCAAGTATGTATTATCCATACTTTGTGATGCTTTATCAAAAAACAATGGGGATGAAAGAGTACCTGACGGTCTAGCTTCCTCAACCAAGCTCTCTATAGAAGAAAGAGGAGAAGCATTAGGTTTCATTCCTGGATTCCGAACTGAAATATCCTCTATAAAAGGACCATTAACAGATAGACCTTTAATCAAGCACCCGGCATCGGGCCTGTTTCCATCAATAGAAACATAGACCGTCCTCATAAGATCCACATCTACGGGTTCTGGCGGATGGCTTGCTCCAGAGAAAGAAGTATTCCCCACTTCATCGTACGAGTCATTGCGCTTCAAGCTAACTATATCAGGAAATGACTCCTTTGTTTCCAGGAAAAAGCTCTTCCCTTTGCAGGCCTTCACAACTGCAGTCATATCTAAATTTTTATACTTCTGAGCAGCATTCGTGCCTTCTTCCCCTCTCGAAGCAGTTGCATGCAGAACCAGAGGGAGATCAGCAGCCGGGACCTGCACTATAGAACTTTTGTATTCAGGAACCTTCTCCATTTTCGCTTAGTCTCTAGCATCACCAAGATTGAGTATAAAAGGGTGCTATAGATTCTCCAACTTTGCTCTCCAATCCATTCCTCGCAGCAACAAATGAATCAAAAATTATAAGATTTACGCTTACTAATGAGCAATCCAGTAAGTGCTCCTATACAAAACTCATGAACTAGATTGCCCTAGCTCAGATACAAAAATTGTCTTGAAAGAGCTGAACACTACAAATAAGCAATTTCACAACGAAATCCGACAGTATGTGCCTACGACCTTCACTTCATCAGTGAGATGCCTGAGAAAATAATAAAGCCAATTGCTCATTAGATCATTAGACAAAAGAGCTCCTAGTTTTCATCCCTCGATAACAACAAACATACATCAATGCAGAAAATAACCTTTCTTGATAGATTTACAGAAAAATCACTACAATTGAAATGAATAAATAACCAGATCTTGAACCTAAATAAAAAATCGAGGAAGAAAATGCATCAAACGGAAAAATCAAAAATGAAAAAAGAGCAAAGAAGAGGGAAAATCCATAAAAAATGCAGGTCCTTCAACGCATGCCTTAAGATGCTATACATCCTCCATAAAAACTACGCCGAATACAATCACAAACTCGAAAAGCAAAATTTCTAACAAGCACTAGTCATATGCCTCATATTCGGAAATCTCCAATCAGCGATGAATGATAGAGATGAAACCAATTTCCCCAAACAGAATCCATAAAAGAAATTCGCGGCAGCCAAAAGTACGTAAGAAATCAGCGGAGTCGGTTTGAAGCGCTCACCAAACGACCAACACCGAGCATTTCGCGAGCACGGGCTAGGGTTTTCGTCAGCTTCCTTCTCAGCCCTTCCGTTCCTCGCCTAGTTCTCGTCTCTTCCTCCTCCGCGCGAAGAGCTCAGAAAGAAGAAGGGGAAGTGAGGGAGAATCAGAGAGTGGCAGAGGAGACTGAAAATGACAGCAGGTCAGCGAGAATCCTCTCTTTCTTTTAGTGTTTTTATTCAATTTTTTTATAGCATCATTTAAAAACAATTAATCAAATAAAACATAGTAAAACTTTAATTTAAATAGGGGCAAAAATGTGAAATGATATCAAATTTTCTAAAGAAAATGCAATGTATTTTCTTAAAAAAATTTCAATTCCTCTCTAACCGATGATGAAAACTCCAATATTTCTTTTTTTTCTAGTTTTACTCTCCATTATTTTGACTTTTTGACGTGATTGGCGGATTCAATGGATTTAAATAATCTAATGAAAGTTTAATTTTAGTGCTATAAATAGCACATAATAGTGAAGCGAGCAGCATTGATTTGGATAGACTAACGTTTTATTTGAGACAATTTTATTATTATTTTTAAAATAAATTTTTAATATAAAATTTTAAAAAACGGTTAAAAAGTTGTCATGAAATTAAGAAGTACTAAGAAAGTCGTCCCAAATAAAGACTTTATTTAGAACAACTTTATTACTGTTTAAAGCAGCTTTTTATTATAAAAATTTCTTGAATTAGATAATAAAAAAAATTATTTTAGAAAATAATAATAAAGTAGTCCCAAATCAAGCATAAGACATCATTTGGAAATACTTTTTCTATTTTGTAAAGCAACTTTTTATACAAAGTTTTTAAAAAATAGAAAAAAATAATAGCAAAAAAATCTCCCAAAGAGAACCTTAAATTTCTTATTATTTTTTAAAATTATATATATATATATAATTCTCAAGTCAGCTCACGATTGAGTAGACTATGATTGAGTCAGTTTATAATCATTTACATTTTCTTGAGTCAATTGTATTGATTTGGGTCATGATGCAAAGTTGCAAACTGCAAAGGAACCTTGTACATACACTTGAGGGAAAAATTCTGACTGTTTTAGAGTTCATAGTATTTTTAAGCATGCTTGTATAAGGTTCTATCACTAAATTGCAAATTATTATATGATTCTGACTTTAAATCAATGAAAACTCAATAAAATTTTAAAAAAATACAAAAATTTTGAGAAATCCAATATTACTCTTTTCACCTAATAGTGGATTTATTTATGCTACAAAGAATGTACCATTATGCTTCTTGTATTTGGCCATAGTAACTTCCATTGCATTCCTCTTATAAGGTTAAAATATATGTAGACTTCACATCAAGAAAAATGGCTAGGTCTATCTAAATGGAGAAATTATTATGTGCGAACATCAGACCGTCTGGAGGTGAATTAGAATACGCCACATCACCCGATACACAACAAAGGGTGATGTTGTACATTCTTATTCGCCTCCGGATGGCGGCCGTATCTACACAGATTAATATATCACCTAAATGGGCTCTGACATCACAAATGTTGGTAACATCATTCAAATAATTTTGTATTTCTTTTTTAAAATAATTAATATGTTTGACTCCAATTTAAAAAAATATATTATTGTATTAATTAAAATTTAAATATAAATAATTTTAATTAACAAGTCAATTATATCATATATTTATTTTAATTAAAATTTTATGAATGCAAATATATATATATATAATAATTTAAACAATTTACTTCCAATTAATTAATTTTATTTATATTATAATTGTAAATCATAAAAAATGCATATTTCAATGGACTTTATACATTAATTTTAAAAAAATAATCCGAAACTATTTTTTATTTTAATTAAGTAATTATTTTTATATTAATTTAATGTATATTATAATTTCAATTCAGACAAAAATATATACATATTTCGTTAGTTTTAAACATATTAAGTATTTTAATGCAAAACTATGATTTTTCTTACTTCAATAAATTAATTTTATATTAAATTTAATTATATCATAATTGTAATGTACATGGAAAAATATCTTCTTTAAAAAACCTAAATTAAAATTATGTTTTTTTCTTAAGAAAAATGAATTTCAAATTCTGTTTTCGCATTTTTTTTTCTTTTTTTAACTATACTTAATTACATTTTTACTTAATTACAAATAAACAGTAATCCTTTTAAAAATCTTCTCCTTGATAAAATTTGTATATCTTCATCAACTAAAATTTACTACTTACCCTCTTACTATTAAATTTTAGGGTTTTACATAAAAAATTATGACATTTTTAATAATTTTCTATGAAAGAGCCACCATTGTGAACTACTTCTCTTTACCATCATATGCCAACAATCCATTAGTTTCATTAACACAAGAAACAAAGTCGTAAAAAAAAAAAAGTGTTAGTAGTGATAATGACGTTAGCTGATGAAATATGGTGGCAGTGACAATCGGTAATAGTTGGTAACAATGACTGACTGACTGTAGTGGTTGATGTCAATGGTGACAACAACTAGTAGTAGGGACCAAGTGGTGACTAACAGCGAGACGGTAGTTGGTGATGGTGGTTAGTGGCATCAGACGGTAATAAGGGGGTGACAGATGATGAGCGGTAGCATTCATTAATAACTCGTGGGAGCAAGTGACATAATTTACTGTGTATTAGATCGATCAACTATGCTGATTTTCAAATACTCTAAAAATAATTATATGATGAATTTCAAAATTACCAATTAGGTAATTGCATTTGAAATCAACATATTAAATACCTAAATTCTCAAAATACATTAAACTACAAATAAAGCAAATCAACAGCTCCTAAGTTGATTGTATGGACCGAGTAATAGCATATAACCGCCAGTAGGGCCCAAGAAGGTCTATTGGTGGACCCTTTTTCGCTACGTCGGCCCACCCTTCACCCTTTAACCATTGTAGCGACTAAATTATAAGCGCAACTGCTCCCTGTCCTGTTAATGGAGATCTCACAATGGCTATTGGCTAGATAAGTATAATACAAAGTTTCATAACGTAGAAACTTGATTTTACATAATTAAGAGAGATAAGTCTAGCGGATACTTGATACTAACTCAAGAATGACATCCATTGCATTCAAAATTCTCTCTCTCTCTCTCTCTCTTCTCCTCTCTCTCTCTCTCTCTCTCTCTCTTATATATATATATATATCATATATATATATAAATTATATATATATATATATATATATATATATATATATATATAATCAAAATGATCCATTGACTAATGATCAAAATAGTCAAATACTATATTATATGATCGTTTCAGTTCATCAAGTCTTTTAAAATAATTCAAAATAATCCTAAGATGGAACTTTTTTTATTCTTCTATAAAAAATTGAAAATCAAAATAATCATTTAATATAGTTGGAAACTATTTTGATCCTTTATGAAAAATCAAGAGATAATTTTAATCTTTTTCTCATATATAGGGATTTCAAAATAGGTTTTTAGGTAAGGTTTGGTTCTAACCCGAAATTGACCCACCCTTAATTGCCTCAACCCGAACTCGACCCGATTACACAAACGTGTTAGAAATCTAACAAAGCTAGGTAAACCCTATCCCAATGGCATAGGATCAATATAAATACCTCTTTATGTACTAGCAATGATAATCTCTCAAAGAATCACTACTATGCCAAAAGATATTCCCCTATAATGGGCATAATTATGGAAGATTATAGTGGAAAGGGCTCTCACTACATACCAAGGCAGTATAAAAAGCTTCATCAAAATTCAACTAATAAATATTTGAGGATTCCATTACTCCAATGATAGTGATAATTATCTATTATACCCAATGGTTCTTATATTAACCATCAATTTCATCAAAATCAAATAAATACTAAAATACCTTTAAAATATTCGCTAATGATGAGTGTTGTCATCAAAATATAGTCAAAAGAGAAAACATTATCACCCCCACACTAACTAGAATGAAGATAAAAATAAATTAGAGGGATTCACTTCAGTATAACTATATAAAAAAAAAACCCTCCTTAGTCCTTACACATTGGGAGATAAACACTTCATGATATTTGTCTTTTTTATAATAAATGAATTCACTAAAATTCAAATATAAAGGAAACCAAATCATTATCTCTAAATGACTCCTTAAACTTCAAATATATTAAAAAAAGCTCTCCACTAATAATGAATATGATTTTGGAGTTAATCTAAAAGAAAGAATCCTAATGGAAACCCACATAAATCAATTAATTATTATCCTTATGTTGAGCATAATATAAATCAATATTAGCGTGTATATATATATACACGCTAATTTTGATTTATATTATCCTCATCATAGGTATATTCAAGTTTTGTTTGGGACGGTTTTCTTACTACTTTTTAAAACAACTTCTTAGTATAAATTTTAAGTTTTGTACTACAAAACTATTTTAAGAAACAACAAGAAAGCCGCTCCAAACAAAACCTCGTAAAACATGTGATGATGAAGATAATAATCACCATGTTGATGAGGTGAGGCTTCCAACACCACAAAAAAAATGGAAATATTAACTCATATATCATCAAATGCTAGGTTGATAGATGCATGAGGATCCCCAACATTAATTGCAATATTTTAATAGCCTTCTAAGCTTTTCATATTGGAATTAGGAAAAGTTGTCTGCTCCCTCTTTCATTAATGCTCTCCTTGAAGCCTTTAACCATTAAAGAGTGCGAGTTAGTGGCCTTAATGAGAAGCTCTGGTTTGCACTTTTCATATGGAGAGAATTTATGAGCATATATTATGATATCTTAGATTTAAAATAATTAATTTCATTTTAGTGGCCTTAGATTATAATAATTATAATAATTCAAAATGATTTAAATGATGGAATTGGATAAATTCTCTAACTATTATGATAATTGAAGAGGAATTAAATCCCTCTACACATATAGAAAGACGATTTTTAAATAAATTATAAATGAATGGAGAGAATCATTGTCCAGTCAAAATCAATCAAATTGGCTCCATAAATTTCCATTAGTAGAGCGCAAGCTGGCTAAGATACCAAATTGACTTCTAAAGCAATCAAGTTAAAGAATTGTCGTGAAAAGTTTGACAATATTTCAAGCATCATAGGCTGGCTGAGATGCTTCACAGACACCACTGCTTTGCAGAGTCATAGAAGGCCTCTTTTGAGATAGCTTTCTTACTGTTTCTTAAAATAACTTTTTAGTATAAAAATTAAAATTTTTGTATTTGAAAGTTGTTTTAAGAAACAGCAAGAAAACAACCCCAAACAAAACCTAAATATAAATCACCCTTTTATGGATAAAAAAAATGTCAAGCGGAAAATAAGTACTTCATGAGATGAGTAAGGCTTCGTTTGGGACAACTTCTTTTACTGTTTCTCAAAAATTTTTGTATTAAAAAACTACTTTAAAAAGCAGTAAAAAAGTTGTCCCAAACAATGCCTAAATTATCTCTTACTTGCCAGCATATTTAGGCTTTCGCTTTTCGGCAAAGGCTGCTAATCCTTCGAGGCGATCCTGAGAATGAAGAAGCTGCACATAGCATTCTTCCTCAATTGACAAGGCTGAAGCCAAATCCACCTGTAGCATTCCTTCATCGATTGCCTTTTTAGCCATCTTTATAGCCAATGGTCCCTGCACCATTTTTTTCTTCTTTTTGTTAAAAGAGAAGTATTATAGTTTTGATATTATAAATTGATTTAAAAAAATAGAATGCTAAAACATAAGTTTCATTCTATAATCTTGAATTCAATGTCTTTATCATTTAAGCTAGCTAACACCTGCTATAGAAAATTGATAGAGCCAACCTTTTCATTTATGTCTCTGGCAATTTGAAGAGCCTTAGTATAAGCTTCTCCTGTTGGAACACAGTAATTCACAAGGCCTGCAGCAGAGTGTATGTCAATGGCTTAAGAAATTGCTTGTTTTGCCTACTAAGGTTTCGATTGGGGCAGCTTTCTTACTGCTTCTTAAAGTAGTTTTTTTGTATAAAAAATTAATTTTTAAACTAGAAAGCTGCTTTAAGAAGCAGTAAAAAAGCCGTCCCAAGCGAAGCCTAAGAAATAGAGGGAATGGAGAAAAAAACTAGCTGTACTGACCCATGGACAAAGCTTCTCTTCCACCAAACCTTCTGGCAGTGTATATGAGTTCTTTTGCTAATGATCTTCCAACTATCCTTGGAAGTCGTTGGGTTCCACCAGCTCTACGAGAGGGTGGCAGATGGATAGATTAGAAAGTATACAAGAGAGAAGCTGTAATTTAGAAACAAATGGCTAAATTTAAAAAACATCTCCAATGCTTCCAAAACCTGCCCAACATGGTGACATTCATTAGAGTGCATTTGGCGGATATGTTAGGTGCACTGTAATAACCGGGCTGAACTCATCCGATCCGAACCCTCCTCATAGTCGCTGAACCCCTCTCTCTCTCTCTCTCTCTCTCTCTCTCCTCACTCTCAAACCTTCCCCCAATTGTAGCCGCCACACTTCCCTCGTTCCTTTCTCCCTTGCATTCTTCTTCCTTGATTGAAAGATGGTCGACAAACCCTTCCCCCGCGTCGTCTCCTCTAAAAGTGAGCCCCCTACTCCTTTCTCCTTCTCTTCTTCCTTGCCATCATCTTTCCCCTTGTTTTGAAATTAGCTCCCATTCATCTTCACTACTTAAAGTGGGGAGAGTAGAATTATTAGCTTTAATTTGTAATAAACAATTTATTTTCAGGTTCATTACTTTTGTTAATTTAGGCTAAGGCATGTTCTTTTAGTTGCAAGTAATCTCTTTAGTGTTTTGGGATAATAGAGTTGAAAAAATTTATGAATTTATTTATGGTTTAATGACATGGTATGATTAATTAGACTAGATTAATTTTTGTAGTAACCTACACTGGTTAAGTTTGACTAATGATTTCCAATGTGTTACGTAAGGACTACAAGTCAGTGAGAAATTATGTTGGGGAAATTAGGTCTCAAGTTATAGAATGTTTGAGTCATGTTATAATCATGAATATAGATTTAAGAATCTTTTATGCAGGAACCTTTAATTTAAATTTCACATGATACAAGTTAGTGAGATCTCAATTAAAGTTGGATTTTCATATTGTTCATCTTAGGATAAGTAGTTGTTATTTATTAAAGAATAAACATACATTTCTTTGTTATGGGCGTTATCCTTATTTCTTGTATTAGGTTCTTAGATATTTATAGTCTTATTGGTTGTCAATCCTATTTTTGATACTTTATTATTGATATACATGTGTAGTATATCCTATTTATTATTCATACTGAATTTATCATATATTAGAACCCAATTTACCTTGATTTATTTTTGTATGAACATTTATCCATTCAATTTGATTCTCGCTGTAGAGAAAATTGAATTCATATACATTAGTCATATTAAATGCAATAAATAATATACCTGCAAATTTGATATGGTTGTCCCTGAACTAACCAACCCGACCCAGGTTGGGCCGGTTCACTTCTATAAGAGGGGGGTTAAGCCACCTCCTTAGAAGCTACCGCCCAAGCATGTGGGCCCCCAGGGCGGCAAATAGAGAGAGGGAAGGGGGCGGCTAAAGCATATGGAGGCTATCTTGAATTTAGTTTATTTTAGGAAGCTTTTTATTAGGAAGATATGTATTTAAAGAGGATGAGAGGTTACAATTAGGGATGCTTGATTATTGTTTCTCTTGGAGTTCTCTTTGGTGTCTTGGGCTCTAGAGATTGGGAGAGAACGATCCTCCTCTCGAATTGAGGATCAATTGTATCTTTGCTTTGTGCTTGCTTTGATTTGATTATGATAGGAAATACTTGAGTTCGCAAGTAACCCTAAGGTAATACTTGAGTTCGCAAGCAACCCTATCCCAAATTGGAGAGCAAACAGCAACAAACTGCCGTTTACAGCAGTTAAACAGTCCCAAACAGTGGAAAACAGCAAGAGATTAAGTAGGAATCTGAAGAAAATCAAGCCAACCACTTGTATTCCACTAGTAGGTGAAAGAAAACAATAATCATACAAGATTCTTCAATTCAAGAGGAAGAGAACTCTTCAAAATCTCTAGCCAAGAAGACTAGAGCCCAAGACTCCAAGAAGATCCCAAAAAATCAGCCCAAATTCAAGATGAAAACCTAAATCCCCCCTTTCCCCCTCTTTAACTCTAAACCCCATACAAAATCACAAAACATCCCTTCTATTCAAATTCCCCCCCTCCCCCTCTTGCCCATTTCCACCCCATGTGGGGCCCGCATGGAGTAAGGATCGGTCCATGTTGGCTCATAGAGTGAGAATAAGAACGTAAAGCTAGATGTTAATGATTAAATTCCTCATATCTGAAAATTCAATTCCAATCAAGTTTTTGCTTTTTTTTTAATCAATTTATTCTTCATTGTTAGATTATTAGTGTCATTGTTTCAATTACAATGCCAATTTCAAGCCCAAATAAAAAAAAGTTGAAAGTTTTTTTTTAATTCAATAATTTGTGCCCCACATGAAAAAGTCATGTCTCCACCCCTGCCTGTAAGACTAATACAATAAGTTACATATCTTGATATCATATGATCTAAATCAATATGCTCACACGAAAGAAATGAATTGAGGTTGTTAAAACATGATTTCTAATATCTAACCCAGTTGGAAGCTTACCCAGGAATTATTGCAAGTCCAGTCTCCGGCATGCTAAATGCAGCATCCTCCCCTGACACATTATCAAGGTTTATTCGAGTATTAAAAACTACATGAATATGTGATATCTGGCTCCAGCAAATCAAATTACAAGCGCAATTGGATAACAGGAATTGTACCGCATATACGAAGATCACAAGAAAGAGCCATTTCTAGCCCACCACCTAGTGCCGCTCCTTCAATAACAGCAATAGTAGGAACAGAGAGTGCCTGCAAAAAACCAACCAATTCAGTTCAAGTTTGTTAGTGTCAGGCAAAGAGCATAATGAGGTCATCTGATAGGAAGTACTTGAGTTCGCAAGTAATCCCACCGGTAATACTTGAGTTCGCAAGCAAACCTATCAAGGATTGGCAAAAACAGTGGGTAAAAGGGCTGATTTCAAGGAAAAATCAGCAAGAACGATGCAGGAAATGTTGTATTTTGGAGAAGAAACACAAGGGGAAATCTTTGATTCAAACCAAAAACAGGAAAAAATAAAGCAAGATACAATTTTCTTCAATTCGAAAGGAAGAAAAACTCTCCAAAATCTCTAGCAAAGCTTAGAGTCCCAAACAAACCCTAGATCTCAAAATTTCAGCAAATCTCAAGATAACCCTAATCCAAACCTCCAAGAGACTAATTAAGGCCAAAGGAGGCTTACAAAATCCCTAAACAGCCCCTAATTCAAAATTTTCCACCTAAATGCTGTTTAAATAAGCAAGTGGGCCCACCGCCCCCCCTTGGGTTCCACCCAAACTTGGGCCGGCGGCTGTAAAACCGAACCGGTCCCTATTGGACTGCTTCAGCCGGCCCCTCCTGGGCCAGCCGCATAACATCATCATTGCAAATGTAGAAGTATCTCATGCAAGATTATTTGAACGAATGCAACCCCACCAAATTAAATGAGAATCGTGCCCTTGACTACTTTGGGCCAATTAGACGGACAGGAGCAGAGATTAATATGCAAGAATCTAGATTAATGAGGATGCTCTTTAAAAAAAATGGGGCAAGTGATGCAAAGCTAAGAGTTACATGGCTACAGTAAAAACGTTATAGTGCCATAACCGCAAGCATAATAAAATCAAATCCTGTAAAGGATTCTAAGGAACGGGTAAAGATATGTAAAACCCGATGTTAATTCTTTTCCCTATAGATATTTGATAGATTCTCCATTTTAAAATAATTTGCGCTACATCTTTTTTTAAACTTAGCCAACAATATTATCATCATACATAACTATAGTTTTAGTTTGATCAAAATGACAATATTATCATCATACATAACTATAGTTTAAGTTTGATCAAAATGTCCCACAACACCACCATCATGCTTGGATAAGATGTTCTCTATGAAGAGGACTAAGGCAAATTATAATTGCAGATTTAGCACAAGGGTAAGATTTAAGATTTGAAAATTCTCTGACTTATGAAACCCAGTTGATTCCTTAGATATAGAAATGGTGAGTTAGACCATGTTGAGATATAAAATAGAGAGAGAAATTGAGATATTTCAATGAGACAACATCTTGGCTAAAATTGGTGAGTTGCATCATGCACAAGCTCAAGCTTGACTCCGTGCCAAGTTTAGTATTACAGGAAGAGAGCTACACGGCAAACAAAAATAAGAAAAATATATAATTGAGTTGGTGTAACAAGCTATGTAGTCGACAAGCCTGGTTGGCATCTATTTGATGAACAAGGATTGCTGGCAAGCTCCACTCCAAGTTGAGGGAAAGTACCCTTGAGTCCTAGTGAGAACTCCTAATCAGCCTAACAAATACTCAAGGTAAGTAGTGGAGTTTTGTGAACTAATAGCTTTAACAAGTGGGCAAGTTTGTGGTTCCTCTTGGTTGAGTTTTTGAGATGTGACCTTTGGATGACTTGAGGTATTGGTAGCTTGGCGAATATCAGGTTGTTCTTGATCAAGACTTGCTGAACCGGATTCAAGCACTCATGATGATTTGACCAAATTGCATAAAACGAATATTGGTATATATCAATTCCTAGATTCTCAAGTCTCTTTTGAGAAGTTAAGAAGAACATGAAAATGATTTGGAAAACCAAAATCAATTTGGATGATTTAGTTTGTTAGATTTGAAAGGTGCACAAACTTTGACAAGTGGCTGATATTTCAGTGTGCGGAAACTTTGACAAGTGGCTGATATTTCATTGTCCAAAATTTTAAAGTCCAAAGCTTGGAGTTTATTACAAAGACTTTCATTGTTTGTTCTTAGATCACTATTCTTTAATTGTTCCACTAATTTTGCAACTTTTGAGTTTTTCCAAAAAGAAGATGGTTGATTATTTTTCTAATTTTGAAGCATCTCATAGATTGTTGAAGAGTTGTGATGGATGCAGGGAGAGATACATCTTTCGAAACTGCCTTGGTGAAAAGGATTAAGAATGAACAAGTAGAGCAAGCTGAAGGTGGTCAAGTACAAAATTTTCCACCAAATAAGGAGGTTTTTTCAGGAGCCTTCAGGCCTAATGAGGATGTTACTAGAGAAGCTATCATAGAGATGAAAACTTTTATTAGAAGATCAACTACTCTGGTAATTGGGGATGGTAATCTGGGGACTATTCATGCACTATAGATGAGGGTCAAAGCTCTTCTAGAGAAGACAAAAAGCAGCATATATAGTTCTCGATGAGGACATCAGTCAGAAATTTTTACATGTGTACCGTCGTCGGAATCAATGATCGACGTCTACGATCCAGAGTCTTTACTTTTGACATATTTTGTATTTTATTTTTCGTTTTCTATTTTTTTTTAGTTTGCACCTATTGGTAGTGAGTCGCTATTGTAGCCCGAGGGTATTTGTATCTTTCTGTTTTTCTTTTATTGAGGCCTATATAATGAGGTCTCTTAACTTTGTAATGGTTAATGATGATTTTGATGAATGAAGTTTTGCTTTGTTTCTTAGTGATATCTTTGTGAGTTCATTAGAGGGGAGAAGCCTAGGAGTGGCCAAGAAAATACCCAATAGTTCACCTACAGGTAAACTCTTGGTTTCTTTGTTTTCTATTTTATTTTTTATCCTCCGCCTCCCTCCTTTCCTCCCCATACCGCTGGCAAATTTGTTATCCCTCCCCTCCACCCGACGGCCCCCCTCTTCCCCTAGACTCCCCACCCGCCACCTACCTACTACCCCACGCCGCCGGCAACTGTAGTAAACCGGCGACCGGCCTCCACCCCACCACCCCTTGCCGTCCCCAAGCCCAACCCGCCGGCTACCTTGCTCCCAAGTTTGAATTTCAAATTCCTTTGGGTCATTAATCACCTTCCTAAAATAAGTCTAAGTAATTAGGAAAGTTACCTAATTGGATTTCAATTAAAATTTGAATTTCAAATGCTTTCCTAATGCTAAAACTTAAATTTGGAAACTTCCCCTTTTGCATAAATCTGAGATTCAATTCAAATTTTGTTTTAAACCTCTAATTATTTCTTGGGGCCCACATAATTAAAACAAATCCCTCTCCTCCCCCTTGTTTGGTCGGCCCCTTTATTGGCCCCTTTCCTCTCTCCAATTTAAGCTCCAATTACAATTAATTCCCCCCTCCCCCCCCCTAATGCCCTCATAAACCGCCGACCCCATTGCCTTATTGGATAAAAAATTTGAAAGCCAAATTAATCGTTTCCCCTGCTTTTGGAAATCTCAATTTAATTTCAGATTACCAACTCCCACCTTTCACCCTTCAACCCCAAGCCGCCGGCCCCTCTCTCTCTCCACCCGCCACCTCCTCTCCCTCTTCTCCCCACAGTAATCTCTCATCTCTCACGGCAAGCATGTATGGCCGATCCGGAAGTTGATCACGGACTTATTCCCAACTCTCAAGGGGAGATCGACGTCATCCGATCACCATTCTTTGATCCCGGATTTGGATCCGAAGGCACCGTCAAAGAATACGTTGATCTTATCCTCCTCACTTAGCGGAAGTCATCGACTAGCAAAAACCTATTGAAGAGTGGAAGATCACCGGACGACCACCCGTTTCTCCAACTCTGATTCCTTCTCCGACGACAAGTACCCTCGGTATCGCATGTCTTCTAGTGGCGTCTCTAAGTTTGCTTGCAATCTTCTCCCGCTAAGCCCATCACTTTCAAGAGTGTGAGTGAGGGATCCCAAGGTGAACGATCTAATTATTAAACGTGGATTTTGTTAACTTGCCATTTGAATTACTTGTTTATTTGTGTTGTTATTGTGCAAGTATCTGAATAATTTCAATTGTAACCAATTGCCATTATTTAGTCTTTCCTGGAATTTCCTAAGATCTAACTTGAAGAAGCATCCGTTTTTAATTAGCCAAGCAAAGTTCACATTTTATTAATTTCTTAATTGCAATTCTTGTTCATCTTTATTGTATTACATCAGTTCTACTAAATTTTCCTTGGCCACCAAGCCGAACAAATTATTCTATGAAATAGCAATTGATATTACCCTGCTCATAGCAGGTTGCAAGTCTCCGAGCATACCACTAGCCTCTCAGTCAATTGAGGGAAGTCTCCAAGTATTGGATATGACTTCAACAAAGGGCAAGGGCAAGATGTCTGAAGTCACTCAACCTAAGAAGGAGAGGGTTGAAAGTGTTGAGAAACTGGCTCAAGAGAAAACCTCTGCCGAAGTTGTTGGTGAAGCTAGATTTCTTAGCGAATAGAACATTGCTGGGAACAACCAATTGTAGAGGAAGAGGAAGTAATCTAGAGAGCAAACCATGCTAGTTATGCCATAGGCTTTGGCGACAAGGTGGAACCCTAGAACATACTAAGACAACAACGAATTCTAAGGTGGTTGGCTCAGTGGTAAATTTGCTTGAAGTAGAGCTGAGAACGACAACCCTTGTGGGCAGGCTAGAGGAGATGCTTATAGAGATGTGCTACTCTTGAAATCAATGAGGCCAAAAAAAAAAAAGAGAGAGAAGCTTGAAGATGGTAGATGAATATAATTGAAGCTAAGCTTAATTTGTATAATAATTGTTCAATCGCATTACCTGATGAATTTGCCCAGGAATCTTATCATGAAATTGATGAGCTACGACAATAGATCATTTTAATGAGGAAGTCTACTTCAACTTCTCGATTTAATCAATTATGGATGGCTGTTGAGTTTATGCTTTGCTAGCTAATCCGAAGAGGGGAGTCGGAGGTGGCGACGGCGGTGGAGAGCGACAACATGTAGTAAAAGTTCCAGTGTATTTGGAAATTGCCCAAATCTGAGGATTCCAAATACGCAAAAAATGAACAAAAGGGTGAATTCCAAATACATTAAAATTGTATATTGCATTTGATTTACTTCAAACTAAAAACTAATAATCTCCAAACCCTCCATTTGGTATATTTTACACACATTTTACTTCAAACCAAACAACCCCGAAATGAAATTTATGAGTTTATTAGCGATGAGATAATCCTTAAGTTTAGACATTATTTTGCTAATTTATGTGTATACTTGACCTCATTTGTATGAAATCAAACTTTGTTTAATGTTATCATTTATTTTGAAGTCAGCTTCTACTTTAAAGTTGGCCTTCGCTGGGAAGTGTTCATTCACTAGTGATGTCGATTCTAGCTAGCATTGACCAAGCCAAAGTTGGAACATCATTTGAGCTTTAATAATTGCTCAGCAATGATTGCAGAGATATCATAGAGATATTGATTTGACATATATCTCTTTGATTTGAGGCAGTGAAGTTCCTCCTTGGTCTCATCTATAAACATCATTATGCTTTGTGCTTTTTTTCCATTATGCTCTCACAAGCTCTCGAGTTTTCTTGAAATTCCTATGCTTTGAGTTTCCACTATATTCAAACTTCTTTCTACCCTCCTCCATCTCCTTCCTTCTTGCGTAATGTTTACTTCCTTCGCGAACAATTTTGAGTGTTTAGCCAAAGGCTGAATGGCGATTCACTTCCTTTTTGGCAAAGAGGAGCACAAAATTTCTAGAATAGATGCTCGATCTAAGCAATGAATTTATTGTTTGAAGAGTTTCAAAACTCACTATTTGATGATTATGGTGTGTCAATAAATGATATGACCAAAAATTTTCAGGTTTGAGCAACTAGTTAAATAAATGGGTCGGGTTCGAGTTAGATTTCCTAAACTGTTTCATCATCAAGTTGGGTTTAGGTCGACCCGTCAACCCACAATTGACTCGTGTTGATGGGTGTGATTTATGTAGCATAAAATTTGCCATTATAATTAGGAATGTTTATCTGATATAACAATGTACATTAAAAACTCTTAAATCAAGATTTATTAATTGGTACTACTAGGAAGACTGAATTTGTATTTCCAGCTTAAATTTGTTTTTTTTTTAATACAAATGGGTTTGTATGTCGGGTCGGGTCAAACAAGGTCTTGGCGGGTCGGGTTTGGGTCTAAGGTTTTGAATTGCTTACTAAATGGGTTTGGTTTGGGTCAAATGGATTCAAAGAGGATCAACTTTGAGTCAAATCTAAAAACAACCTGTTAACCCATTTTGAGACCCCAATTGATGATGAATAGTGTTTCTATCGAGGCTAATTCCATATCGGGCTATGACTTCCTTTCTTTGCCAACATATGAGTTGGGCATAGAGATGAACTTAACCTAAGCTTTCTATAAAACTCTCAACGGCCTAGTATGGGGATCAAGCTAGGGAGAGTCGAAATACATCACCTACATGAAGTGGATGCAATTTCAAGTTGTGTTCCAACATTAAATTCTTGATCCATTCTTCCTCTTCTTTCTTTGCTCAAGCTCACTATTACTACGCTAGAGTACAATGAATGTGATAGGAAGCGGATGCAATTTCAGCAAAACCAGAAAACGATACAAGAAATTTAGGAAGAAGAACACACAAGAACTCTTTTTATTTATTTATTGAAAGAACTAAGAAGACAAACACAAGATACAGTTGAATCTTTAATTGGAGAGGACAATCCAGCTCTCCCAAATCCCTAATCGTTAGCTAGAGCCCACTCAACCTAATCAAAACTAATTCCAGCAAAATCCAGTATAATCTGAAAAAGTTGATGAGGGGGCATGAAGGCAAATTGCTTCCAATCATGATAACAAGGAAGGCGTCCTTATCATAATTGATGATTGTGTTGTTAAGAACCATGGAAGAAAATTGTAGCAATCCAGATCTAAATCCAAGGGTACAAAAATTAGGGGATGATAATTTTTCTCCTCCTGGAGGAGAAAACTCCATCAAATCATTAGCCTATTTTATTTATTTCAGCGAATTACTGGTATCTGAAAATTTTCTGCGTGCCTTTCTACATTTAGTTCAGTATTGCTGGAAACCTAATGTTTACTTCACATTTTGCTTGATTCATTTTCCATCTTAGCTTTTCTTATGGCACTAAGTGCCTTTAGGGATTTGTATGCATAGATCGGATTAATCTAATCCCTTAATTTTTTGTCTACCCTAAAGCAGCACATACTAAATACAACGCCACTGATATGCTAATCTATAACATAGATGTGATGAAACATGAGCAATAAAATGAATGCAGACTCTCCTCACTCCAGCATTAAAGCACACACATACGAATAGAAGAACATGTTCATAAATCTGATCAATAACCATAGAAAATTAGAGTCCATAATACAAACTGTGACATTATATTCAATAGACTCAATACAATAAATCTGATGAAGCATGAGCAATAAAATGAAAGGTAATAATGCCCTCACAATATAGAACTTCCTACACTCAAGTATTGAAGCACAAATAGTAGAAGAAAATGCTAATAAATCTGATCAATGACCATAGAATAATTATTTGAACCACTCACAAGTTGATTAAGTTATTCAACAAATCAACAAAAGTTGAGCAAATTGTGAAACCACGTGAAATAAATACATTGTAAATAGACGTACCAAAAAAGGAAGAAATAAAACTATAAATAGCGTGAGTCATATAAGGTGTGAATAAACCTCCAGTGAGGAGAACGTTGAACGCAGAGAGTTAACAAAATGCTCAACTTCAGAGGTATTCATCAGTCTGCGCTCCTGTCATTAAAGCTTATGCCATGAAAATATTAGCCAGCTGGAATATTAAGGCTACCTGGATAATACAACATTAATTAGAGAACACCACCGAATATGTGCCAAGAAAACTCAAGAAGATGGTTTATGGCTTAAGTTGTTGTAATTCAAATGAAATATGGGCAATATTACAAAATAAAACAGCAAGAACTCAAGTATTAGAACGATTTCGGCTTCATTTGAGATAGCTTTTTTATTGTTTTCTAAAGTAACTTTCTAGTAAAAAATGTTTAATTCAACAAAAAAATTGTGCTAAAAACTGTTTTAGAAAGTAATAAGAAAAAAAGCCATCCTAAACGAAGCCTTAGTCAGAGATTTATAACTGCCTCTAATTATAACAAGTGATTTTGGTCGTCATTTTGCCTAAATGTTGCCTAGGGCATTGAATCAGCCTGAATCATAGCTGGAATAGTTTCTCGCAATATTCATCATAAATGGGGTTAGATCTTTTATTGCAACTTTTTGAGTTAAAATCTGTAAGAAACCATCCAACAATTGAAACTCAAAATAAATTTAAATTTAAGAACAATTTTTGCCGTTAACTTAGTTCAAGTGTTAAAATAGAGTTATGCAAGAAAACACCATTTAAGAACTTAGTTCGAGTGTTTGTTCGGATTTAGTTTCATTTTTACCATCATCCTGTAATTATATATTACTCCATTACTATTATGAATACAAATAATAGTATGACCCAACTTATTTTTTATGTAACTTATTTTCTTGTTACTTAACGCAAAAAAAAGCAACAATGAAGGTGATTTTCAAGCCTATTTAAGGCCAATTTGTTGTCACGTATGTGTTTTGGACTGAGCTTCATTGAGGTGAGTTTAATAGGTTTTCATTTTTTCAATAACTCATTTCTAATGAACATGCAAGTGCTGGTTCGATCTGTGATGAGTTTATGTTCTATCCATTATCGCATTAAAAGTATATAATTCTATTATTCATATTATGAACAAAAGTAGCATTCTAATCCACTCCCCTTGTAATGACATGACATTTTATAATTATTTTACGAAACTGCAAAAAATAAAGGTACCTTCCAAGTTCTCATACGTAAAACTCATAACTTTCCTGAAGCTGATTTTCAAAAATGGTTGATCTCTTTGATGCAGAACTATTTGGATGATATGATTATGGGTTCATTTTGGCATTGCACAACTTCTTGAATTAGAATAATTTAGAATAAAATTCACTAGCAATTCTCAACGGATATTCAAAACACATTGGGAGATAATTAGTCAAGGTGAAATCACATGCTCTGAGTTTTAAAGCTTTCAAAATAAATAAGACAATCAAACAATACAAAGTAGTAGGCTTCAACGTTGTGACAACCGGTTCATCCGGCCGGTTCACCCGAACCGGCCGGCCCACCCTTATTAATTCCGCGAACAGAAGGATCGCGGAATAGTGCAGTTCGCGAAACAGAGAGGCTCGTTAGATCGAGTACTCGGGCCGGGTCGTGACAAACGTAATCCCTAATCTAACAACGAGAATTAGGATGCAGTGAAGGCACGCTCAAACCTACGGTTACTAAGTTTAGCAAGAGCACTTAGAAGAGCCTTTCATGATTAATTGAGAACTTGGATTTAGAAGGATTTGAGTGCAAGTGACAAGGAAAACCTTTGCTAATGAGACGTGGCGATCCTCCAATCGATGCCTTCGAGATGCTCGTCGATAGATCCCGTCATTCATTGGGCTTGGAAATAAAATCTCTGTGGTACAAAGGTACAACTCTCAAGTAGCGGCGAAGAGTTAGCTCCAAGTTTCCTTCCAAAATCTGAATTTGCCCCTTTCAAAAATCTGAAATAATTCTGAATTTATCTCAGAAATCTGAGAGGAATTCTCAGTTTTGGTGTAGAGGGAAGATGAACTTGAAGTAGTGAGGGATAAGGAATTAGTCCACTAGGGAATCAAAGGTGGAGAGGGGATTTGAGAGAGAGAGATGGCAATGGAGAGGGGCGGTGGGCTGATGGAGGCGTGAAGTTTGAATTCCCTAAATTGATTAATTGATCCAGGAAATAAATGCAAGCATGAGGTGATTGAGGAATTCGGCCAAGGGGGATATTGGGGATTTTGAAATATTTCCTAAGAGAGGTGTTGGATTTAGGAAATACTTTGAAAGGGAATTAATGGAGGAGAGGTAAGGGGGCCGGTGGTATACAAGGGTGGTGGATTGATTGAAGAGAGCAATTAAGGCTTCCTAATTTAGGATTTAGAATTAGGAAATATTTAATTTAAATCCTCTTGAATTTAAAATTTAAAATAGATTTAAATCACATACTTTCCTAAAATAGAGGAACTAATTTAAGAAACAATTTGAATTCAAATTTGGGTGAATTTGAATTTCAAATTACCCCCAATTAATCCCAACCCCAATTAGGAAATACAATAAAAGAGGTAAGGTGGATGGGATGCCGGCGGCTAGTGCATTGGGGCCGCCGGCATTGAGGATTCGGGTAGGGTGATGTGGCCGTGGGTTGTGAGGGATGAAATGGCTCGGGTGGAGTGGAGAATCCGGCGGCAGGTGGAGTAGGGTGAGGGGTTCACCAAAGGGAAGATGAGAAGATAAAAGAAAACCACGAACCCGGCCGTCTCCAAGGTTGGTGGGTGATCCGGTCTCCCTCTCCTATGGATCTCTCCAAAGCTCTCCAAGAACTCTCAAACACTCTTACGACACAAGAGTAGAAGAAATTTTCATAACAATCATTCATTACCCATAATAGAATAAAGTGGAGCTTTAAATAGCCTCCTACAACATGACTCGAAATAAAAGACACAAACGTCATTTAGGCTTACATACGACGACTCCCATAAGAGGGGTACTACGGGAAAGAAAACACATAAGCAACTAAATAAAATAAAAAATACAACGACTCTAAATGCCACATAAGCAAATAACAAGCTACAGGAAAATAAAATACATCAACGACTCAAAAATATAAAGACTCGATGTGGCCGTAGATCGTCGACCACGTCTCTGATAAACTCTCCATGATGATCTGATGTCCCCATCACTCTTTCATCCACTTTCAGCCAAACAAACCTCAGTTTCGGAACCAAATACTTATTTTTACATATAATAATACTAAAGTGATAAAAAATTTGATGTGAGAGATTAAGAATAAAGCTCATTATAATTCAAACATAAAAACTAAGTTTATATGAAGTGAGTTTTTGAAAAATTGAATATATATGACTTCAGAGTCACTCTTCCGATAAGAAGTGAGTCTTTACAAAATAAATATATATCATTGGAACTTACTTCAATGTGACTCACTTACGAAATTGCGATCTAAAAATTTGCAGTGAAACAAGCTGGCATAAAAAGAGTCACTTTCATTCATTTTCTACCAAACAAATGTTGAAACTCAATTTTGAACTTGGTTTCAAGCACTCCAAATACTTATTTCAGCCTTAGTGCCAAAAGTCTTCAATTTTTTTCGTAATAAAATATAGCGATACATCTTCTTCCTTTAAAAATTAGATAATGCAAATCAAAGTCAATTTTAAGGTTTAATTGCATGTTGTTTTTTGTCATGTTAGAGATTCTTAATTTCAGAGTTATTAAAAGAGCTAGATGCCTTGATTAACTTGATTGATTGTTGTACAAGCTCATATTCAAGTCAATTCATGCTACAGAAAATTTAATTCATTCTCATTAGTTCTATTAAATCATAAATGCGATAAATGATATTTCAGCAAATCATATTAGCTATAGAATTCTTGATTTCCATAATGATTTTATAATAAATATTGAAAAATTGCTTATAAAAATTATATGCATGTGTACAATGGTATCTAAGTTGTTAGAACCTTATTGCACATGTCGGACATGCCAAAAACATGCCTAATTAAAAAAATATTAAATGCAAATCAGACACGCGTATCTTAAATAATTTATGAATTTTTTAATATATATTTTTGTATTTTAAATGTTAATTTATTTACAATATAAAAATTAAATTTCGTATTTTCCCTCCATAACAACAAATCAATTGTCTGCATTCAATACAACATTCATCGAATATTCTCATTTTCATTTCTCTTTGGCGAATCGCGACTTTGGTTTCACAATAATGCTCGATATCATTCAACATTGATGTCTGATGTCATTATAACATAGACATTTTAAACAATCTCAATATCAAAATTTAAGACTATCTTTTAAGACTATCTTGACATTGATGCTCTACGCTAGCAATTTCTACACCCACAACGACAACTTGTCTTTGTCCGACGTTTTCTTAACATTGATGATTTTTCCAACGTTATCTTAACATTGACGACAAACACTCTCTCAACATCGATGATATATGCCCTCTCGACATAGACGTCCAATACCTACTGTATAACATCAATGTCTGACTCTTGACAGCATTGTCGTCTCCTCTCTTGATGCCTAATACATAGCATTGAAGCTGACTCTTAACATCCTAATATTAATCATTTTAAGCATGAATTCTAGTAAAATGACTTATTATTTTTAAATTATTTTTAATAGTATACTTATTCAATTTTATACACTATTTTTAAAATATAAAATTATAATAATATGTTCAATCCATGTTTGTGTTCTATATTTTCAATAATTGATGAGTCCCATGTCAATGTCGTGTCGTATATGTGTCGTCGTGTCTATTTTTTTGTGCATCATAGTGGTTTGGCATAATGATTGCATTGTTAAACTAATAGATTAACTATTTGCTATTACATAATCACTTCTATACATTTAGTTGGTTGTGTTGCATATCACATTCCGTTGTTGTTTATGCTTTAATAGATAAGAATTACTTGTTAGATTTAATTTCTCAAGCTCACTCATTATTAATTTTTCTCATAACAGATTATGGGGAGCGTTAAGTGGACTACAACTATACGAGTTAAGCAACTAGCAATAGCATATATATATGGTATTTCATATTTTTAAAATAGATCATTCGTAATTTCTTTAGACGGTTTGGACAGTTTATTTCTATAATTGTTTCTTTCGATTCTATTAAAGCATGTAATTATTTTTACTTTATTGATGTACTGTTATTTAGATTCATTATAATAAAAAGAAACTTTTTTATTATTCATTGTTTACTTTGATATGTTCTATTTACATCACTTGTATTATGAACTCCCATTCCTACGAGTACAAAATAGGTCTTTCTATCACCTCATAATATAATTTTTTTTTTTTCACCTCATAATATCCTGTGTTGTCAAGGTTTACCGTTTTTCAGACCCGAGGTGTGACACATAAATACCCTAAAACCAAAGTTTTCTGAAAATATTCTTATGGCAATCGTTAGTGCACATTCAATGCAAAAAGAAACCAAGGCTTCAAGGGTTGAATTCGTTCCATTTAATCATAGTAACCCTAACGAAAACTATTTCGTACCATAAAACAAGTAAAAATCATCAAAACAAGCGAAACCTAATACCTTGAGGTCAGCACCAGCGCAAAAAACCCTAGGAATGGAACTGCTGACTATAACGACCTTGGCCGATGAGTCATTATCAATCTCCACTATCGCATTCTGCAATCCCCTCAGCATTTCCTTACTGATCGCGTTCTTTGCCTCAGCCCTCTCCAGCTTCAAATCCACAATCCCTGTGAAGTAATCCTCCGTGAGCTGGACATCTACCAGCAGACCAAACTCCATCCCCATCCCCTTTAAAAAAAAGGTAACCTAATCGCGAAAACTTTACCTGAATCCGAATCGGAGAGTTTTTCTATTCTCACCACATTGGGGACTGTTTGAAGAATTAGAGTTCTGCAGAAGAAAAGACGGAACTGGCACGGCGCCGCCACGGCGGCGGGAGCCGGGGGATGGGGAAGACATCTCCAAGCGCGGCTATTATGAAGAAATTGAGCAGCGGAGGCGTTAGAGCTGCTGCTTCCGCAATTAAGAGTACCGCGGCACAATACGGATCGGAATCGATGCATTGTCAACGAGGAGAGCAGCAGCAGCAGCAGCAGCGATTGGGAGATGGTCGAGGGAATTAATTTCTTTTGGTAAAAACTTCTAACAGATATTTTTTTTGGGGGGGAGGAGTTATGTTTATAATTAATTTTTATATTTTATCATTTACATAATATTGACATTTAAAATTTTTAAATATTTTTTTGACCAAACTCTTTCTAAAGAATAGAAAGTCATAAAAAGACTTTGTTATAAATGAAAAATACGCGAGAAAGTTGAGATATAATCTCGATGGAAAAGAGGATAGATGAAATCAATTGTGATCCATCGAGGCTTAGGATGATTGGTGGGTGAGCAAGATTTGAAACTCCCATCATAGGTTCGAATCTCTTCTATTACGACTTCATCTCTTCAACGGGGCAAAGCAAGTATGATTCTGATGCCAGTTGGTGGCCTAACTAGGTTTTGTGGAGGGATTAGTGACACCGTCAAGCTCTCCCTTTAGAGTGGCAGTGGGTAGATACTCCGTTTAAAAAAAAAACAAAACAAATGTGAAGTCTTAAAAAATTCACACCTATACCACCCTCCTACTCTTACAACCCTTGAACTTAATCTCTAAAGTTGATCATTTGTACAACATTTTCCTAGGTAAATGGAATAGTAACAATTCAAGTTAAAAATTTATATCAATTTCGAGTCACGGGTCGAACCCAGAATTAACCCGACACTGTTCAGGTCAACCCAAATCAAACCAATTTTTACAAACGGTTCGATTTGTTAGACCTAAACCCGACCCGTTTTTTACAAATGGGTCATTTTTGGGACCAGAACCCGACCCGATTCGGGTTCGGGTCAACCTAACCCGACACAGATTTTCGCATCGACATGAAGGAATGTCATCAAGCTCTTGTCGCTAGTTCTAATTTCGGCGAGGCGACGAGCTATACCGACTTTTGATTTGACAGGAAGGAATGTCGTCAAGGAAGATAACGAGCTCTTGTCATCGAAGGAAAGAAGGAACGTCGTCGAAGTCGCGAAGAGTGCAACAATAGCAACATCGGGCAGCATATGCAAGGAGTGGCGTCAGCCTAGAAGGAGGCAAGCTGGTGAAGAGACTCTCATACGTGACACACGAGTACACAACTGACAAATTGAGCGACTCAACGCGTCCCGATGACAAGTCATTTCACGGGCGCGGGAGGGCATGCCGGGCAGTAGACGCTGGTAAAACAGTTTCCAGGTCAATTCCGGGGTCGATTCGAGTTTTTGGGTCTACCCGAAACTCAAATTGATATGACTCATTTGTTATTCGGGTTAACCCGAACCCGAATTTTTTCATGTTGGTTTTGGGTCATGTTACGGGCCATGTCAAAAATTGACACAACTATCTAAGTTAAAAAATTATTATTTTTAATAAAAGTAGAAGGGTTCATATATCACTCCTCTTGTTAGGTTTGTCTTCTCTAAAAAAAAAAATATACGACAAATTATGTTAGATCTATTTTCTCCCATTATTAGTATCATAGCATAGAGGATCAATGTTGGGTGATAATATCCAAATCTAATAACCGAAAAATTGGTCCTTGAGGTGGGGAATCCCTACAAGCTTTACACTTATCAAAAGCTTAAAGGATCCATTTCCTATACTATTCGGCTAATAGTCAAGCCTACTCAACTATGAATATTATTAGTCTCCCAAGCATTGCGAGTTGACCTTTGTCAAGTACTATTACTCCATCTATAGTGAGTATTACAGGGCACCTTCCCACTACTCGGCAAATAGGAATTGACTTTTTGGCTCAACATATGCTTAAAATCATTTTGTCATGTTAGTCAATACAAACAATTGAGTAAGATAAATTAGGTTTGATTTAATAAATTTTTTTAAACAAATTGATTTATTGATTATATTAAAATGAAGTCCAATCACATAAAATTAAATATACCAAAGTACATGAGAAATATAAGCTCGACTTCAAGGAGAGGATAATTTAAAGTTGTCCAAATTTTACAAGATGACATCTTGACCTGTTAGAGAATGAGACACTAAGCTTTAAATGTAAGAGAAATTATTAGGAGCAGAGTTCGAACGTAGAGATACGTTTGGACTCCAATAAAATGTTGACATGTGGGGTAGATACGTGGATATTCAATTGAATTTATTTTTTACTTTACATATTTAATGTGTCACCAGAACCTTAAGTCAAGCGCACCAAAAGCGTAGCCAAAGTGCAGGTAAAGCACAGTGAAAAAACGCAACAAAAGAACAGTCAAAGCGCAACTAATGCACAAATAAAGCGCAAAAGAAGTGCAACCAAAATGCACTCCACGTGTCACACTTTAAGTGAATGTCAAGATGTATCTCTACGTCTGTATTCCGCACTATAGTAGGGAGATGGACTAAAGAGGGCAAACTTTAGTTATCACTCAAGAGGGGCAAGGAATTTCTATCAAGTTAGCGAGAAGGAAGAGCACATAAGTCATCAATTAAAAAAAAATCAATGAAGAATCAAATGAGAAGAAAATTAGAATATTAAGAATAAACATAATTTTGATTTTTCTCCCTTAGCATCTAGGATTGAAGAAGAATGTACAGTCCTTGTCATTTTAATTTTCTGACAGACAGAAATACAGAAAAGAAAACTTGTTCATTCATCACTGGTTCATCCAGAGGGACTAACAAGACGACCATGGTGGACCCCAAAGGCATCGCCGTCCGGTTCGACAGCCCCAAGCGACCTAAGCCGGTTCACATAGATCTTCTTCACGTTAGGTCGCTGCTGACTCAGCAGCCGGGCCAGGCTCCTCTTGGCATTGGACCGGAACGGGCAGCCCGTCCCCATAAACCCATCAACAAGATGCAGGTAGGCTTCCAGGTCATGACAACAAGCCGGGTCGGCGTTGGGTTTCAGGTACGGCGAATCCCGATTATCCACACGCAGTTCCGTTCCCACGTGCGCGTAGCCCTCCAATCCATCCAGGACGTGCGAACCCCACCACTTACCCTTATCCTCTCCGCCGCCATGTACCGGAAGGCCGGCGGGAACCCTGGTAACAACATCATTCGCGTTCACCACACGAAGCACCTTCACCCCTTTCTTCTCAATCCTATCGGCGAATCCGGGGTTGCCGACGCGCGGGCCGCCGAAGGAGATAACGGAGATTGGCGGCGCGTTTTCGATTTTGTCCGCTAGTTCATCGGCGATGAGAATTGCGAGTGCCGCGCCGAGGCTATGTCCGGTGATTGTAATGCTCAACTCTTCCCCGGCGTATTGATCAACGAGACGGCGGATTTCGTTGACTACGGTGGTGGAAAGGCTTGGAATGTTTGGGCCGGGGGAGGATTTGGCGAGGCTCATGAAACCACACGAGACCTTGGAATCGGGGGAATCGGGGAGGGGGTGGAGGGAGGTGCGGAGATTCTCGACCCATTCGAGTGCGGTGGCTGTGCCGCGAAGGGCGACTACGATGTCGCGGCGGCCCATGCGGGCGATCTCGCGGTCGTTATCGCAGACGGCGACGAAACCGATCCAAGAGGAGGATTGGGTCATCCATGGCGGAGCGGAGGAGGCGGCTTGGGGAACCCAGTGGGGTATTTCGACGGAGGAGGTGGCGAAGAGGCTGCGGGTGGCTCGGTAATTGCGGTCGGGGAGGACCATGTAGCGAGGACGGGAAGGGGAGGCGGATGGATTAGAGTGGAATATGCGGTACGCCGCCTGTACGAGGTCACCGTAGCGAACGAGTTCTCTCCGGAGATTCTCGTCGAGGGGGTCAAGGAGGCCGGACCAGTTCTGAGCGCCGTGGAGCAGTCGCCACCGCGACGCAATCGAGTCTTTTGGAGATGGGCGGGAAGAATCGGAGAGAAGCCGCTGGAGTCGTGCGAGGCTACGAGGGGAAACCTCATCGGCGGCGGCCACGGCGCTTCGGACGGAAGTAAACAGAGTGGATAGATTCAGCGCGTGGAGGAGGCCGCCGCTGGATCCGGAGCCGCCGGCATCCCTCACGGCGGAGGATGTCGTCTTATCGCAGTTTTCATCGGGGGAGCTGCGGGGGAAGAGGGAGGGAGCGTGGGGAGCGGATCTCAGGAGAACGCGCTCGAGGTTGGAGATATGTGATCGGGTGTCAACGGTGGCGGAGGCGGCAGAAGCGGTGGTTCGGAGGGATCGCGGAGGGGTGCGGTGGCGGTTTTCGCGGTTCGAAGATCCGGTGGACTTCACCGGAGAGACGGCCCGGGATGGAGCCGGCAGGGCACCCACGGTCATCAGCTTTTGAGGAAATCGAGATTGAAAAAATTGTGGCGACGTTTGGAAAAGCGCTTTGCGATTTGTTTTCTGTTTGGCCAGCGATATGAAAGAAAGGTGAACTTCTCAAGTATTTATAAGTACAGTTTGTAGACCAAATGTAAATACGTGAATGGCAAGAAATTAATGAGAAGGCGACAAAAGTTTGTAAAATGCCAGAAGCTAATACGTCTGTAGAAAGAAAATTCTAGAATAATAATAAAATGGTAAGAGCTTGAAGGTCTGCCTTTTTATGTCAATTGACGTTTGAATAAACTATGTTTTAATAATTAATAAAAGCTATATTACTTATTTAAGTTTTATGTGATATTTGATATCATCTATAATAAAGTATGATTAGATTTATATTTAAATAAGAAATACAAAGAAATATTTAATTGTTTAAGTTAATTTTTTTAAAATATTTTTTATTTTAATTATTGAAATGATACCCCTCCTTATAGGAGGTGTTGGCTCAATATAACAAATACATATTATATAGAGTATATTATATTATTATATGTCAACAGTTGTTAAAAGAGTATTAGATATTTATTTGGTCAGTAGGGTCGTAGTCAGCGAGCGACAATGATTGGAAGGACCGTAATCAGCGAGTGATGGTGGTTGAAAAAATCATAGTCGGCAAGTGATAATATTTGGGAAGAGATTTGACGTCGGTAGCATCCAGGAAGAATCCCGACGATAGTTGGAGAACTGGGGGAAGTCTAGCCTTGATCGGTGGTTGGAAAGAACTCAAGTGATGGCAGCGTTGGTTGAATGAAGAATGCACAAGAGTTCCCAAGCTCTCTCCTCTTCTCCTCCTCCTCAATGTGAATAATGGATGGCTATTTATAATTTTTGGGAGTGACATGACTAGTAATTATGAAAAAAATCAAGGATATGTTGGTGTTGCGTCTAGGAGTATTCGCGGCGGTAGAGAAATATAAAGTTTAATGTCTTAGCGTTGTACGACAATCTGGCACACAATCAGATAAGAGAAATGGTCTAATATTTATGAGACACCAAGATTTTTACGTGGAAAATCCCTAAAAAGGGAAAAAAATCATGGGGCCTGGCCTAGTTTGAATGAATCCACTAGTATAGCAGTTGATTACAAATGAAGCCCTTCCTTGGGGGATGGCTTGAGCTTGATGTACATTATATGAAGTACATTACATGTTGGAAATACAAAGAGTCACTGTTGACGTGTTCGTTTGGTCGGGAGGACTATAGTCTGGTGACGGAGGTCAGAAGGATTGTAGTTTGCGGGCGACGTAAGTTAGAAAGACTTTAGTCGGCTGGCGACGAAGGTAGGAAGGACTGTTGTTTGACGACAAATGTTAGAAGGACGGCGTCAGGTAGAAGTCTGACGTCTGTTGGAGGCCGAGGAGAACTCCAATATCACTTGGGCGGAGTTTCGGCGTCATGGGGGTGACTCTGTCGTTATTTGTGCAGAATTTCAACGTCCTGTGGGAGTTAGACAGAATTCTGGCGTTCCATGGAAGTAGGGCAGAATTTCGGTGTCTCGTGAAAGTCAGGCAGAATTCTTGCGTCATTTGGAGTTTGGCGGAACTCCGGCGATGGTCGAGGAGGAGTCTCTTCCCTCCTATTCTTCACTTCTCCTCCTTGCTTCTTGCTTCTTCCTTTGGCCCCTCCTCACAAGAGAAATGAGGGGTCTATTTATAGATTATGGGTGAATCAGGAGTGGTTCGAATGGACGGCCGATATTGAATCCCTTGATCATAGACCATTCGTCAGATATTTGAAGGCCTTAATGATGTCAGAATTTGGCGATCTTTATGCTCGTTGGATTCGTCTTGTCAAGCCGCTCGATTCGACTATAAGCTCGTCATGTTTGGAAACCGTTTGATAACTCAAATTGTGATTCAAACCTTCCAAATGTGTTTCGGGTCTTTGATTTGGACCCATTTGGACTGGGATTGAGTCAAATTTGGTGTCGTTGAGTTCGTATTTCCGAGACGCTCAGTTTGATTGGAAGTTTGCTGAAATCAGAGTTCAAGTGAATCCGGATTTAATTTTTGAAGCTTTCGGCTTGATTTTGCCTCAAGATGTGTTCAATCAAGATAATTTTTGCTTGATATATCAGTTGGAGTGTTCTATCAGACCATTGATATTAGTTCCATTGATCATAAAATATTTATTTAGCATTTGAGTGCTTTAATAATATCATAATTAAGTAATCTTGGGCTTGTTCGATTTGTCTCGTCAAGCCGCTCGATTTGACTATAAACATGTCATATTTGATATCGCTCCATCAACCAATTAATGCTCTGAAACTTCCAAGAATGTTTTGGTCTTTGAATTTGGACTCATATGAACTCGGATCGGAATGAATTTGATGTCATTGGATTTGTCTGTTTGAGACTTTTAATTCGACTTTAAGTTTGCTAAAATTAGAGTTTCGATGGGATTATAAATTCTTTCTCCTCATTTATATAAATATTTGATATTACAATTCTAAACTTTTTGATAAAAATCATAGCCTAAAATGACATAACTTTCTATAATATTATACTTTTAAATAAATTTGTATGGTGCATTAGTCTTGTACGGCAAAATGTGTCATCTTTATTTTAAGATATTTTTAATATTCATCAGATAATTTATATTTATTCAAAATAGTTTAGTGTGCTTAAAAGTTATTCATTTCATAAATAAAAAAAGTAACTCATAATAAAAATACATTTTATATGAAGAAGAAATGAACAAAATCAACTTAAAAATGCCTCATTAAAAATTCAACCTCTACAATAAAATAATGAGTATGTTTTCTTTTTTTTTTGGGGACATTTATGCCATTAAGGCAAACTCACACACACAACGCATACACAAAGACTCGAACCCAATACCTCTTAGTTGGAAGCATAAACTCTCAACCAACAAGCCAAGGTGAGCTGTGTAGTATGTTTTCTTCGTAGGAAAGAAAGCCCATTCTCCTTTTTTTTAATATCATAAGATTAATATATATATATTAGCTAATTAGTTCAGAGTTTAATGAAGTTGAAGGTTAATTTTAGTTTTAGGAATATTTATTGAGAAAAAACAAGCAAAAAATAAACTAGTTTCAAATAAAAAAGATTGAATATAAGTATATAACTAAGATTTCATTTGGACGTTTTTCTTACTACTTCTTAAAGTAAATATTTAGCTAAAAAAAATAAAAATTTTGTATTAAAAAGTTGTTTTAAAAAACAGTAAGAGAGCCGTCTTAAACGAAGCCTAAGTTAACACAAATTTAAACTAACATAATGATCATAATATAGAAGATAAGTATAAATAAGAGGGAGAAAGTGGTGAAGTCCTTCGATGGAAGAATTATTTTGTGCAGAGTGCGGAGGGCGTTCGGAGCCCAATAAACATGCGCCACGTCACCCCATTGGTGGGTACCCAGCTCGGTACCTGCACTCGGTACCGCTTGGTACCCAGTACTTGTCGAACGATTCTCCCGTCCGCACTACGGACAGAATAATCTCTCACTTCGATGTGACTCCAATCTTCCTAATCTTATTAAATTTAAAAAAAAAATGCTGGACTTATAATCCTTAGAGGTATTAGAAAGTTTGCCACTTTTGCCTCTAGTAACTCATCTTCTTGCGTCCAGCAAAGCATAACTCATTCAATACTTTGCACAACCCTACTTTCCAATAAGAATAATATTTATATAGTACAAAACACCTAAAAAAAGATTACAAAACACCTAAACAAAAATTAGAAAACACCTAAATACCTAATAGCAACTTAATAAATTTAATAACTTACAAACTAATATGACTCGAAAATGACCCATTAAAGCTACCCATTATATTTATATCTAACATGCTCCCCTCCCTTTGCCTCATGATAGACTATATCTATATATATATATATATATATATAATGATGTCTATAGGAAAAAAATCAAGCAACCGATCATCCAGATGAAAAAAAAAAAAAAATCTCAACAACAGGAGATGCAGATTCTATAGTCACTTTGAAGCAACTCAACCAAATAGGCATCTGCACTTAGTACAACATCATGAAGTTAATTATGGTATGACAAGTCACAAAAAAATGGAATCAACAAAGCCAGAAAATGATCCCAAGAAGAAACGACCAATACATTTGAGGTATTAAAGATACAAAAATCTACATATTACAGGCGCGATTACTCCATACATATATATTTTTATACAGAGAAATAAATTCATGCCACTAATTACTGTAGTTCTTTCTTCTACATCTTCCCGCTCTCCTTTCCTTGCTGCAGACTAACCAATCCATAATACGTTCCCGTAGCCCCCTTGCCCATTAGCGCCGCATGGCTTCCTTTCTCCACCAACCTCCCCTTATCCATCACCGCAATCAAATCACAATTCCTGACCGTACTCAACCTATGCGCCACCACCACACTCGTCCTCCCGACCATAACTCTCTCCAGCGCCTCCTGCACCACTTTCTCCGACTGGCCGTCCAGCGCGCTCGTCGCCTCGTCCAGCAACAATATCTTCGGATTCCTCAATATCGCCCTCGCTATCGCTATTCTCTGCTTCTGCCCGCCGGACAACTGAACCCCTCTCTCACCGCACCACGTGTCGTACCCATCCTTCAGCCCGCTTATAAAATCATGCGCGTTCGCCGCTCTCGCCGCCGCCTCCGCTTCGCTCGCCACCGCTTCGTCAAGCCCGTATGTTATATTCTCCAGCACCGTGCCGGCGAATAAGGTCGGCTCTTGTCCCACCAACGCCATCTGCCGACGCAGCTCGCGGAGATTGTAAGTCCGGATGTCTCGCCCGTCTATCCGTATGAGCCCGGCTATCGGGTCATAGAATCGCTCAATAAGCGATATGATGGTTGATTTGCCGGACCCGCTCGGGCCGACCAGCGCGGTTGATTTCCCGGGCTTGATGGATAGAGAGAAACCTTGGAGAATGGGCACGTCGGGTCGAGCCGGGTAAACGAATTCGACGCCGCGAAATTCGATGGATCCGGTCAAAGATCCGGCTTGGTAGGCTTCGGGATCATCCGGCTCGATGGCTGAGAACCGGTCGAGGATTGAGAAAACGGACGCGACGGAATCGGCGCCTTTGGCTATATCTGTGGTGGTGCTGCCGGCATCTGCTATGACGCGGCCGGTGCTGACCAAGATCACAAAGGTTTGAATGAGCGCTTTGGAGGAAATAATCGCTCGGCGGACGAGGAGGCCGCCGTACCAGAAATCGAGGGCCCATGTGCAGATAACGAGGGCTTGGGAGATTGCGAGGCCTAGGCCGGCGAGATAGGACTGGCGGAGAGATTGTTGGCGAGTGTCGGATTGGGCGACATGGAAGAGGTGGAGGATTCGAGATTGGGAGGAGAAAGAAGTGATGGTGCGGAGATTGCCAATTGCTTCGGCGGCGAGTTTGCTGCTATCGGATTGGAATTTGATGGATTTGTTGGAGATGTTTTGCAGGAGGACGCGCCGGGCGTAGAAGCAGGCGATGATGAGCGGTTGCGTGGCGATCATGAGGAGGGCGAAGCGCCAGGCGATTACGAGGCCTAGCGTGAAGGCTACTGTTACGGCCGATAATGCCTGGATTATAAGCGAGATTCGATCTCCCACCAGCGATCGCACCTGTAACATAACCACATTAATTAATAATTATTAACACTATATATATTTAATGCATGAGGCTTTGACAAACTATTGTGCTAAGATGATAGGGGAAATTTTTCTGTGCGGGAGTACTCCAAACGTAGAGGATCTTCCAAATTATTTGACACACTGTGTACGTTTTGCTTACACTCTGCATATTTAAATATACATAATAAATACGTAAAGTATAGTCAGAGCTTATGCATAAGTTCCATAATAATTCGAAAGATCCTTTGCGTTAAGACTCCGCACAGACAGAATAATTGTCTAGATGATGGATCGAGTGGGCATACCACACTGGCATCCTTGGCCAATCGCGAGCAAATAGCGCCAGTAGAATTATCCTCTTCATCAAACCAGCCCACCTCAAAAGTCAGAATCTTTGAAAACATTCTTTCCCTCACTCTTCTCGTCAAACACTCCCCCATAACTCCCAAATTGTAATGCTGGATCACATTAACCGCGAAGGAGAAGATAGACAATCCCACAAATACAAGAGCATAGGTCCTGATCTTATCTTTCATCTCCTCGTGGTCCTCAATGAAGTAAATCATTATCATTCCGCTCAGAGCGTATGAATAAGCTGGCTGAACCGCACCAAATAGAATGGCCGCCGAGCAGCCGAGCAAAGCCTGTCGCCATTCCGGCGCGTTCATCATCAACAATCGACGTAAAGATGGAACCGCCCGGGAGGTCCCCTGTCCCTGCTTACCATTCCCTTGATTCCATTCTTCGATCTCGCCGATCGATTTGGTCGAGCTCGATACAGAGAACCGACGGCTCATGCTGCGGCTGCTGAAGTATGCATCTTCATCATATTAATATATGTATGCTTAAAGAAAAGAAAACTAAAAATAAAATGCTGAAAAAACTTATTGACCTGCCCATGGAATCGTGCTCCTCCACCGGCTGTGATTGTTGTACGCGAATGAGATTAGAATAATGGCTGTTAGGGTTCGCGATGAGTTCCTGATGAGATCCGGATTCGATTACTTGGCCGGAATGGACATAGGCGATAGAATGGGCGTTGCGAATAGTGGAGAGGCGATGGGCAATAACTATAGTGGTCCGGCCAACGGCGGCGGCGTCGAGGGCTTCTTGAACGATTCGCTCGGACTCGGAGTCGAGAGCGCTGGTGGCTTCGTCAAGGAGAAGGATCTTCGGCTCTCGAATGAGTGCACGCGCAATGGCAATGCGTTGCTTTTGTCCGCCAGACATTTGAACTCCTCTCTCACCTACCTGATCATCATCGCGTTAATCTCAAAGCATGCAAATTTAAAAGTTATATTAACCATAATAATTTCAAAAATCTCATTTTTCATAATAATACTATGATAAATAAAATTTAAAATAAATAATTAAATATTGCATACAGTTTGCCTTTTTCTTCTTATGTAAGCACAAATTATTTATTATAAGACTGTCCCTCAGCTCGTCATGTCATAATTTAATAATTATTTAACGCACTGCTGCTTTCTAGTTTCTTCTATATATATTCTAAACGAGCAAAGGCATTTTTTTACTTGTTGACTATTTGAAGGGTGTCGTGATTAATGGCAATTTTGCTCTGTTTTAAATTAATTTTTCAATACGCTCTTTAGGCTAAATTTAAAAAACACCGAGCTCCTTCTTAAAATTTGGCCTAATTGATTTACCATCGATTCAGTTATACATCATTATGCGGTGAGGAGCTAACCAAATTTTTAACTCCATAAAACATTCTTAATTAAAAATTTATTTGAGATCATTTTCTTAATATCATTTTTTTCAAATCATAATAATGAAATTGTTTCAAATAAAATTAAATTTCTTTCATAACATAAATAAATCATAACAAAAGCAATAAACAACTGAGACTAAGCTATTAGAATTTAGAACACTAAAATATGGAAAATTATTATGTGCGGAATCCGGACGGAAAAATATATCCGGATTGTTGATGTATTTATTGAATATTTGCTGAGTATTTATAAGTGCTCAGCAAATACTCAGTAAATAAGCATCAAATCAACATATACTTAGTAAATGCACATTAAATATTTAGTTGAGTCCCAGACTCCACACTAATTTCTCTTAAAATACATTGTTAAGTATATGAGATCTGACTTTGTTGGTGGAAGGCGTCACATACTATGCAATGTGGATATCTAAGTTTAATTGTAATGATCAACTCACGTACAGATGATGATAATGACAGAAACATCACATTGTCTTCTCCTTCTAATGGAGGAATATATATATATATATATATAAAGGGTGTCACTTTGTGGGATTTTAATTGTTAGGGAATATTTCATGGAAATTTTATTAAATAATTTTTTCTGTGAATAATTACATAATCATCATATATTCTAGAAGCAAGAGATAACTCTATTTATTTGAGTAAAAATAAGGGAAAATTTTGAAATGAAAAAGAAATAGCTCTAAAGTTAACAAAACTAACTATTTTTTTTTTCTTTCTTTATTAAATATAGAAATGAAAAAGCTGTAAAGTTAGGTTAAAGGCGATTCTCAATTATTAGAATTATTGCAAAGCATGTCTGAAGAACCGTTCATTTACTCTTTTTTTAAAGTTATATTAGAGTGGACTCCACATACGAACAATATTATTTTATTGAATCTTTTTATTTAAGAAAATATTATTATATATATAATTTTTTACTTTTTAATATTTGAATAATATTATTATAAAGAGAGATTTACATGCAAGCCATTGAATTTGTATACATTTACATATAAAAATCATTTAAATTTTATATTTACTTATTAATATTTGTGATATTTTTATGACATTACTATTTAAAAAAAAAATGAAAAAATAAAAAAAAAATACCTGCGTATCATAGCCCATAGGTAATTGCGAAATAAAGGCATGCGCATTAGCCTTCTTAGCCGCCTCCACCACTTCCTCCATAGTCCCATCCTCCTTCCCAAACAGCACATTCTCCTTAATGCTCATATCGAACAACAATGGCTCCTGACTCACCAATCCCATTTTCCCTCTCAACCATTTCAAATTCAATCTCCTTATATCGACTCCATCCACCTCAATCACGCCGCTCATTGGATCATAAAACCTCTGCAACAAAACCACGGCCGTCGATTTCCCCGACCCGCTTCCCCCCACCAAAGCCACCGTCTTCCCCGCCTCCACCCTCAAACTAAACCCTCTAAAAACCTCAATCTCGGGCCTCGCCGGATACCCGAATCTCACTTCCTTGAACTCCACTTCCCCTCTCACTTCCCTCACCTCCTCCCCCTCCTGGCTTTCCGAATCTATCGCCGGCTTCCTTTCAATAACCTCCTTAATACGCTCCGCCGCCGCCATCCCCTCTCCCAAGTACTTAACATTCGAGAGTCCTACGCCGAGGGATAGTCCGCCGGCAAGGATGCAACTGCCGACGGCGAAGACGGTTCCGCCTGTAGTCTTATGGAGGATAACGAGCCGGCTGCTGTACCAAGACATGAAAGCCCAGATGGAAAAAGTTATGCCATTGCTTCCAAAGGCGAGACCTTTGGCGAGGCCCTGTTGGAGGCCAAGGCGAACGGAGGAGTTTAGAGCGGAGGAGAAGGAGGTGATGGTCGGACTTTCGGAAACAGAAGAATAGACGGTTCGGATGGAGGAGATGGCTTGTTCGGCGATTTGCCCGGCTTTGTTGTACTGGATTTGGATCCGCCGGGAAAGCGTTAGTAAGACGCGGCCGTATATTAAGCCAGGGATGATAAGGAGGAGTACGGAGGGGAAGGCGATTAAGGCTACTCGCCACAGTAGGACGAAGCCGGCGATGTAGCTGCCGATAAATGTGGCGATGTTCATTATGAAATTTGGTACCTGCGTTATTTGTTCAAGAGAAAATACAATTAAAAACATCAAAAGCAAATCAATCAATCATCGTTTCTATCTATTGAACTGTTCTTAAAATAAATTTACATTATATTCTTAAAATATTATTATTATTATCATTTTCTTAAGAGAAATATCTTCATCAGAGTTTCATCACAAATGATTTAAAAATTTATTATATATGTATTTTCAGATAAGTGTAATATTTATAAAAATTGGTTGATTTCATATTATTCTAATACTAAATTTAATTAAAAATTTATAATTTAATTTTTTTTTAAAGTTAAAAATAAAGTTATCTAAAATATTCTCATTCAAAATTAGGTTTTATTCGTAATAATTTTTTTATTCTTTAGTAAAACTGTTAAAATAAAATTATTCTAAAAAATAACTTTTATGTACTTTTTTAAAAAGTAGCAATAAAAAAATGATTTTAATGAATTTTATATTGATTCCATTCATTTTAAGTTGAGAGTAATATATATATATATATATGATTAGCATGTTATTATATTGACTAATATAATATCACAATCCAATAATTTGTATTAGTGATTATCCATAAAAGTAGCACACATCCATGATCCAACATGGTGACTACTATGCCCATATTTTATTAAAGGAGATGGTGGCTATGATCACATAACATAGATCTATAAATATAGGTATAATGGCAACGGGATCCTCCATTACTTTCATAAATGTGCACTAACACTAACTAAAATAATAAAATATAATATATAATTAATTATATTATATTTTTCTTTAATTATATTTAACACTTTCAAAAGTTCTCATTATCATTATTACTATTATTTTCATAATATCCTTCTATGAAAATGATAATTGAGAGCATGCCTTCTCACTAAGAACATTTTGGATGACAACACAGTCGCTAGAGACGCAGTTGATCACTTCGATCGTTGGCATAGCTTTCATATCAAAATAACCAACGTCCTGCCTTAGCACTGCCTTCAAATACCTACCACGCATCCTCGTTGCCTGCCTTTCTCCCGTCCTCGTCCAACAATACCCCTCTGCATGCATACACACACAAACATGTATATATCATCACTATTAAATATAATTAAATTCAAAATTCTTCAACTTCTATATTATAAAAAAAAATTATATCTTTATATTATATATATATATATATACTGACCAAGAAAGGCGAAGGCAAAGCTGGCAGCGGCAAGATAGACAAAGAGAAGTGAATTCCGGTTAACGGCGTGCTCGAACCCCGGCGAGTGAGGGCCGGCGCCGAAAGCGTTAACAAATTTGCTCATTAGGGTGAGCATGACCGGCCCAGAAAGTCCATCGCCGACTGCCCCGATAAAGCCGAGGCCCATTAGCCAGCAGTCGGCGACATCAGCGTGCATGAACATACTTCTCGCAGAGAGTATAATGGACGGCCTGGATTTCTCCCCTTCTTTCCCCATTTCTTTATCTGTGCGGCTTTGGGCTTCGGCTTGCTGCCTATTTATAGCCTCCATAGTGATTAATTAGATATTAATGAAAAGCAGCAGGGAAGGTTTTTATCTAATAAAAGAAATTTAACGGTGTGAGTGCAGACATCTGTGTGGTGGTCGACTGATCATTAAGCTTTAATTATTGAATGGTACATTGCGGCCTTCAGTTTAGAATGGTTTAAGAAAATAATTATGTCATAATCAGCATGTTTTGAACTTTTTTTTTTTAATATGGAAAAGTGTACCTACATTAAAATATTATGATAGAAATTTTATAATTAGCTTATTTTGAAATGAGTGTGATATATTTTAATTTGTTAAATATGTATTTTGTTTATTTCAAAATAAATTTAGTGAATATAAAATTAATTATGATAAAATTTGGATTATCTTATTCTAACTTTTTATTTAAATTTTTATTAAGAAAATTGAGTTAGGCCAAAGTTTCATTTAGAATGGTTTTATAATCTATAGATTAATTAATAGAGTTAAGTGTAATATAAATTATTTATGTAATATAAGATATTCTAATATATGTATGAAATAACTTAATTTTTATATTTATATCAATATTGTGAGTTTTTCCCTTTTATATAAATATCATTGATACATCCTCAAAAAATTATCTTGATCAGAAACGAATTTCTCAAGGGAAAATTAAGTTGGAAACTTCCAAAATTAAAGTGGGACTATTCAAACTCCGATTCTAGCAAACTTACATTCGAACTGAGCGTCTTGAAAATATGAACACAACGACACCAAAATCGACTCAATCCGAATCCAAATGAATCCAAATCAAAGGTCTGAAGCGCTGTTGGAGGGTTCGAACCACAATTTGGATTACCAACCGAATTTCTAAACATGATGTGCTTATATATTTTAAATTAGAGATGAGCTACTAAAAAAAACTTGGGAAGTTGAGGTGCATGCTTTGAACGCGATGGGAGAAACGAATTTGCGTCAATCAACGAGCTGCGATGCGCGCGAGCCCCTACTCAAATATTTAATGTTGCGACCATCTCATTGATGCATGATTATGCAAGCCCATGCGTATGTGCAATTTATTTTATGACAAGAAGGATATAGCACCATCTCATTGATGCATGATTATGCAAGCTCATGCGTATGGGCAACTTGTTATTAAAATATTTACTTCATATTTGGTGCCCTTAGATTCTATGGTACGTTACATATTAAGAAAAAAAAATAAAGGTTTGACCTGATGCCTTCAATGGAAATAATGGAATCTTTGCTGGAGGCAGTTAGATTATTAGAACTTGCTTATTTGTCCTTCATTATATGCCACAATTCTAACAAGTCTGCTAGCTAAAACATTGTTGACATAGCTTGTTCGTATACTTTTTTTTTTTTTGTTATCTTAATTTGCTACACCCTATCTAACTCTTTTTTTTATGTAATCCCTATCTTCTATGTATGAAAAAAATATATAGACAGCTTAGCTTAGTTTTTTCTTTCTTTCTTTTTTTTAGACATTTAGATCATTTAATGCAAATTCATACGCATATCACATACGTAAAATTCGAACTGAAGACCTTTTAGTTGGTAGCCAAAACTTTCAACCAACAGATCAAAATGAGCTGCTTAGTTATGAACGGTCAAAAACATCCCACCTTGGCACAATTATTGAAGCGAAATAGTTCTCAACAGTAAACAATTTACAATTTGTTGGATCTCATTTAGATCAATATGATAAATCTTCGACTACTATTTCTTTATCAACATACTTTTCTTTTTATCATCTCAATTTGCTACACCCTATCTAACTCTTTTTTTATGCAATCCCTATCTTCTATGTATGAAAAAAATACATAGACAACTTAGCGTAGTTTTTTCTTTCTTTCTTTTTTTAGACATTTAGATCATTTAACGCAAACTCACACGCATATCACATACGTAAAGGTCGAACCGAAGACCTTTTAGTTGGTAGCCAAAACTCCCAACCAACAGATCAAGGTGAGCTGCTTAGTTATGAACGGTCATAAACACCCCACCTGGACACAATTATTGAAGCGAAATAGTTCTCAACAGTAAACAATTTACAATTTGTTGGATCTCATTCAGATCAATATGATAAATCTTTTACTGCTATTTTTTTTATCAATTTAATGCTCTTTGTAATCAATTTAAACACAAAGTCTTTTAATTAAACAGAAATGATTGCTTAAAAAAAAGGGGGGTTAAGAAAAGGTTACATGCAATACATAAATAGTTGATCAAGCAGCTAATTAGTGCTAAGCACTTTCCAGTTTCCACTAGATATAATTAATGAAGTGGCCTTTGGTTTTCTCTTCCACCTCGCCTTAAATCCAGGGGAAGTCCTTTTCTATGTCTTTCAATTTCCAGCTTTTTCAAGTGGGCAGCAGCTATGACACTTTGGATTTAATTAACTATAATTTTTCCAATTAGATTAAGCTTAATTATAATATTTATAAATTTAACAACAAAAAATAAGACAATTACCACTTATAAGTTATGATTCAGATAAGGTGAAAAAGGTATAATTTTCTTAAATTATTTTTGTGATTATGATATTTACAGAAAGAAAAAAAGTGCTATTTTTTCACACATATTTTACACAATTAACTATAATCATCTCTAATAAAATCTTAGTTTCAGTACAAATGGATAATTCTGATTAATTTTTAGAGGTAATTTGAGTAAAAATTTGCATTCATTATTACAAAAATACACTTTTTATAATAATTTATAATAAAAAGGTGATTGCTACTAAACTCCAAAATCAACCAAACTGTTGAAATAAATTTTATTTTATTTTTAGAGAATCAAAATTAAAACGTTGATTAGGACATGAACCGTTTAAAAGAATCCAGATCAGTTTGTTCCACCACTTTGCCCAAAAGAAAATTTGAAAAAAAAAATGCACTGAAGAAGAAGCATGCGGGAAAGCAATGTGGTGGTGATGTTCACATAGACCACTAGTACAATTAATCCACATTTCACTTTGAATAGCTAATATTCCTATTTGTCTAATAAAAAAACGTGTAAATTTCTTTTTAGGCGGCCAAAAAAAAAGACAAAATGCTTATTTGGTGTTCTTTGACCAAACCATGATGGCCAGTGGATATTTTTATTGGTATTCAACAATGGCTTTGATTACATTAATGGTTCAAATTCTAATTCGACTCAAAATTGAATTGACATGAATCTGATCAACCCAAACTTAACCTGTTTATCAAAAGCATTGACCCAAAGATGACCTGATAATCCATTTTGATAAAAAAAAATAAAATTTTATATAAATTATCAACTATAGAGTTTAAATTAATTGATAAAAAATAAGAATAAGATCATTTTTTAATCAAAATAAGACTCGCAAGTCAACCCGAAATGTTTCATAAGCAGGTCAAAAGTTGTCACATTTCAATTATTCCTAAGAAATAAATAATATTACAATACTAATTTATTTTATTAAATTTATATTAGTAGCATACAGTTGATGCAGGTGCACCAGCAGAAGTTCAAAAGGAACTAAAAGGAACAGTCAATATAATGAACAATGTAAGAACGGGAGTGGGAGGGGGACACAATTGCGTGCGCGTGCAGCGGAACAGTTTAAGTTGGTTTGGTATATGTTACATTTGTAGTGTTTCAATTTGTTTACCAACAATAATATCACTGCATGCACGTAAAGTTAGATCATTTGCCACTATTCTCTGCCTCTTTACCAATAATAAATATATTTTGTCGAATGCCTTTTATGGAAATATAAAAAAAAAAAAATATTTATTATGATAAAAAAACTTAATATAATAGGTTACTTGGACAAATAATTTCATTTCGAAGTTAGTTTTAGTACCTCAAAAGTACGTAGAGAGAGGCGGGATCAACTGCGTGCGAACTGTGAGGGGCCGCTCAGTGTCTGTTTGCAAAGCCGGGGCCGACTGTTTCTGTGGTTGGCTTGTTGCGCGTGCGAATGCAAGTCGAGAGAGATACGAAAGAGAGGTGGGATTGGGGACTTTGAAGAGTAATTTGGACATTTTTTAGGGCAAAATAAAATTTTTAGGGGGTCAAAATATCAAATATAACTCCTATGAAGAGTTTATAGATCGATTGTCACTACAAACACGATAAAATAATGATGGATGAGCCTTTAGATATCCTACAAATTGCTAAATTTATAAACAAAAGGGGATCAAATCCACATCTCAATGGCCATGAATTTATTAAGTAATATTTTTTTTTTTATCTTGTTTTTTTAATAATTAAAAAAAAGATGTGTAACTATCAATATGTTTGTATGATGGATTAGATTTATAAATTCATCATTTAAAATATTATCATCATCATAATTAAATCTATAGTGACGGCAACAAATTGTAACCTTCTACAAATTGCTTAAAGTTTATTACTTTAAACAATAATATTTTGCAATTAAGAATTTATGACCATTTCAGATTTAATATAAAATGGAAGTGATAGGCTATTCGAACATGTGCAAATGAGTCGAGTCGAATTTGAGTCATGGGGTGTTCGACCTCGACTCGCGAGTCAAACACCGAGCTCCAATTTGAGGTCGAACTCGAATCAAGCTTAAAAGTCGAACTTGAGCTCGACTCATGACTCTATAACTAGGTCATCGAGCCGCTCGATTTCACGACTGCCTGCATCGTTTCCTGCCTGATTTTTATTTTCCCGCCCGATTTTTGCACAAGGGGAGAATTAATATTTGAGAAGAAAACGAAGCAGCAGACTTGCCTTGCAACTTCTCACTAGTTTAATTAATTCTACCGATTGGTAAAACATCTTTTAAATTATATATATAATTTCACTGTTTTAATAATAATTAAAGCTGCAACATTTATATCATTGACATTTTGAGAATTTTTTTATTACCTATGCAGCTGTTGAAGACAATCTAACAAGCCTAGCATCATCAAGCTCGAATTCGACTTGTAAACTCGATAAGCTTGACTCGGCTCACTTACACCCCTAGTCGTCCTCCTTTGATAAATAATTGAAAGAAAGTCAAACTTGGAGATAAGAGAGCAACTTGGCAGCTATTATTATTATTATTATTATTAAGCATCAATTACTGTCAATTTGAGCATCAATTACTGTCAATTTTAATGAGGGTATCATCAGAGGAATATATTTTGTTCTACTAAGGGTATCATCATAGGAATAATAAATATGATAGTGGAGCTCAGTTTTCTATTGAAAGGTATCATTTGCAACAATTTTATATTTGGGAAATAGTTATAAAAAAAATATGATAGGTAAATTACATAATATGTTGAAAATTTATTAAAAAAATATTTAAATTTTCTGACATAAAAGATGGTTGGAAAACTGATGGACCTTCTTCCAACATAATTCACATCAGAAATGAAAACAGAAACCCTTCTCTGCAACTTTACCGTTTACTTTCTCCTTTCATATATTTAGAAATCTGAATAACTTCATCATCCAAATTCATTTGAATATGAGATCTGAAGAGAGAACATTCAGCATAAATGGATTCAACAGATAAGTGCGAGGATGCAAATACACACAAAATAACGGTCTCTAATGAATTCAAAAAGTAAAGCAACATAGTACTTAACAAAACGGGCCATTTATTTAATGATTTAATAGGAGATCATTTTACAAAAAAAAAGGGACAGCATGAATATGTAATTACAGGCTATCCTTCCCCTTCCTCCATTCCCTATCTCGAACATAAAATGGCAAAGATAAACAACAAACAACAAGAGCAAGAAAAATAACAGGGGTTGGTTACTACTTCAACAGAAAAATTGCAACATTTTATAGTACAAATGCTACCCTATGAACGGGTGGCAATGCAATGCACTGCATGATAAATCAAAGAATTTCCATCTCATCCCACCATGATCCTAACCTTCTTCCCCTATTGATTTGCTTTGCAAGGTTGGTATAGAAATAGTTAGAATCGACAAAATTACCTGATAAGAAGCTGTAGCTTTTCTCTCCCATGCCATCAACTGTTTGTCCAGGAAGAAAGCATCAGACGGTTAAGTCTCTCAGCTGTCTCAGCTTCGTTTTCTTTTTCTTCTGTATTTAGCCTATAAATATCAAACTGTACAATTACAATTAGTTGTCTGTTCCCTGCAACTCTGCAGCTCGCTGTCTCATCATCTCCATTACAGCAGCTCGTCGTCTGGATTCAGACTGCTGCTGCAACCTCCTAAGATGCTCTTTCAAATCCCTAGACAAGATGAAATTCATCAAATCTTGTTAAATTTAGGATTAAGAAGTTGGCATATAATTTTAAATGTAGTAGTTAGCTCACTTGCAGCGAGGCACATGGCATTCTGATTCCTTGCAAGCCCTGGCATGCAGTTGTAACACATACCACATCTTCTTGCAGAGGACGCAGCCGCCGGAAGCACGAGTTTTACATTGTATGCCATGACGAAAAAGCCCTTTGACTCGACGGCAGTTGGGGTATTGGCAATGTGGAAAACGGCATTGAGAAGCATGAACCAGAAGATCAAGCATTTTCCGGAGCTGCAGCAGTAAAAAGTCACAGAAGAATAATGTTACCCGGAGTTGACAGGATATTTGCACGACGATATTTACTAGATTTTACCATGGCTAAAACTTGCAAAAAAGCTTCGCAGAAAATGAAGTTAATATCATATGCAGTACTCAATAGAAATGAACGAGGCAAGATTAATAAAGAAAAATCCAAAAAGTTGAGATAAGATAAGGCTAAAGATGATGATCATTATAGGAATACTAGTTAGATACCAAATTAAAAAATCAATAAAAAGGAAATTTTCAGCAAGGCAAACGGAAGGAAACATAAAATTTAATGTCTTTAAGAGTGAAGATGACCACACCTGCAGTACACGTTTTTGTCTTGCTTCTTGACTTTGCGCATCGCGATCAGCATTGGAAGGGTGATTTGTTAACTTATGAGGATGATCGACACAACGATCTCTTTGGTAACAAGAGTTGCATACATCAAAATCAGGGCAAACCTCACAACGCCAGCCCTGGCCGGTTTCGATGTCATGATAGCACACATTGCAAGTGGTGACAAATGCAGGTGCAGTTGGATTATGAAGGTGATACAGCACCATCATAGAAGAATGCTTAGCCCTTCGCAGTGTGTCGTATTGGTAATGATTTCCTTGGCAAAGGCTTAGGAAAGCCTGTCTAGTATCAAAAAACTCACTCTCTACAATCTCATCTTTATCTTTTGTATCAGCAACCACATCACTGATCTCAATCTGCTCCAACCATTCGATTTGAGTGAGTAACGTCAAATAGTTGATGCCATTAAGAATGGACGAGTTTCAAGAGGTTAACTTACTGGGTAGAGATCATGCCTTTCCCTGCTGCTGATAGGATGCCTATCCCTATCATCAAGTTTTTGTTCTGCTTCATAGCACCTGCAAGAACATTGCAATACAAAATGTAAAATGGTTTAAAGCTTCAGAGAACATGTTCATCAAGTTGTTCATTTGCATACAGCGAAAAGAAATATAAACAGAAACATGTTATTTTCCTCATCTTAATAATACTAAAATGACATATTATAATAATTGTAATAACAAGTCTTAAATGTAAAATCAAGCAGATAAACGATTTGTGACTACGATTAGCATTAAATAAATCATCAATGTACAATAAAGAACAGCAAGTGCCACTAGATTTGGTTTATAGTCTAACTTCTACAAAATTTAAAGGTAAGAGCATTCTAATCATTTTCAATTCACAATTCACAACACAAAACTAGCCTCAAATTGGGTTTCATTTTATTTTTCACAATTTCAACGAAGTAATGCCACATCTACTGAAAATGCACCTTTTTCCATTCTACATTCCCATGGAGTTTAAATTGTAAAAAAATTACCCTCTTACCTTATATTCATTATTGTTGATTTAAACAATCTTAATAGCTAAAGATACAACAAGGACTAGTAATATGGAGATGACTATAAGAAAAATGTAGGAGTGACAATGACTGGATTGAGATAAAATAAAATAAATGGAGAACCTAAACCGTAAATAGGATAGCAGCAGCAGTAAAAAGAGTGAGAATAAATTTGAAAGAAATATAAAGGGAATTAAAAAAAAACAATCCTAGGCTAATATTGCTTATTATAGTTTGAAAGGGATTAGCTAACCCAGAAAAAATATCAGGTGTAAATCTTGCAAGTAAAAGATTCGAAGTAGCGAAACCCAAACGATTCAAAAAGACCAATGATGGAAATATTAATGATCATGATATGCCCATGAGGACTACTACTGTATTCGATTGATGTTGTTTCCAAGTCTTCCATAGTTCAGTGAAAATTTAGCATGCCTGGCTAAAACAAATGTAGACAAGGAAATCATAATAAATCTGACAAAGAAAGAACCTGAAAAAGAAAAGCTTACTTATCACAAATCTGGAAATTCTTGCACTGATTGCAAACCCAACGATTTCCAGATGTCATCAGAATGCAGCAATGCGCACAAGCATGCTGCAGATGGACCATAATAAAATCTTCTTTCATAGGAGAGATGGTTTCACCTAGCTGAACATTGACATGCAACATTAGAGAAGAACACAGCTAGAAAAAAAAAATCTTCTAGTAACTAAAATCTGAAATCCTCTAATTAAAAAAAGATTTGTAATAAAATGAGAAAAATCAAGCTAGGGTCAAACATTCAGAGAGACCGATGGAATGCTCCATAAGATGTCTCTAGCTTAACCATGCAGAGGACATTATAAAGCAGAAGAAATTAGTTGTCCGCCAAATAATTACCTTCTGCATTAACAGAGCATCTTTTGATGCATTACAACCAAGATCAGTATGACCAGCAGCTTTTAAGGCCCTTTTTGTGATAGTCAATTTCGTTTTTCCTTTCTTCAGTTGCTTTTTACCATCTTCTTCTTGCTGAAGCTGAATGATCATGTCTTCTGCAGCACCTGGCCAATAGTCCCCATCAAAATATGGCAAGCGTGCTGCAGTGACCTTGGCCTTGCATTCACCAGTAGATATAAAGAAATGATCAAATAAATTAGTGAGACCAACAGCAATGTTTTCTTTCGCAGCTTTTCGAAGCATTGATAAATACCTGCGAAGGCATCAATCATGTCAGTCAGGCCAATCTGATGACTAAATCACTAGGGCATTGAAAAACATAAAATATGTGAAATAATTTGTCGCCCCGTGATTAGAGAATACCCCCCCCCCCCAAAAAAAAAAAAAAAAAAAAAAAAAAAAAAAAAAAAAAAAACACAAAAACCTTCACTCACCATTCCCTTAGTTTGTCAGATTTTGGCGTCTTCTGAATCTCAGGATGGCAATATAGGATATAATCTTCACCTTTTAGAGGAGGGCACGCCCATATATAGCAACTAGCGAAGCCACGTTTTTTACAGTAATCAAGATAGCCTATCTGCAAGATGAAGCAAGAAAATTTCAGAATTAAAAAAAAAAATACACATTCATAAAAAATAATAAACATCATGAAAAATGGAAAAGAGATGTTAACAAAACAATAAAATATATTTTATCTGAGAATGGTAAGGGCTAGCTTAAAGGTAACAACAAGCATGCCGAAGAAAAGAAGTTGAAAATTGTACCAGAATTTCATGATACACAAAAGTCCTCAGAGCTTCACCAGTTACCGTTCTAATTTCAGGTCTGAAGTATTTTACTGAGTCCAAATAAGAAAGGTATACACGCCTTTGGTTAGGGAATTGACATTCTGAACCAAATTCCTGGACGTACATGCCAAAAAGGCATACTTCTACACCTTCTATCTTCTGAAACAGTAATACAACCTGCAGAAAGAATTTGTGAGTTCATCAGGAGAAATTTCTTTGCCTCATTCTTTTCAGAGTGTTAAACAATGAATTGGACACCTCTGTCCAAGGCTAAAAGCTACTCTTAGAAATAAAAACGTTGACAAAGATAACATTTTATTTACCTTTGATTTATAAGGAAACTCCGATGGGTAGTTTTCCTCCTGAAAAATTTCCAAAAACCGCTGCTTCACATCCAACTTCTTGTCAACTGATGACACAACCCTCACAACAAGTGATTCAGCTCCCGGAACCTGAATATAAGCAGAAAGATATAACATGTCTCAAATTGAGAAATATGCATCAATCAGCTGGAATTCAAAACAACCACAAGTATTTGATTAAATAAAGGAAATGCATAGCTTCAACAAAGGAAAAATATAACAAAAACACACAAAATAGAGGAACAAGAAGAAAAAAAGCACCAACTGAGGCACAATGGTTATCAGTGATCATCAACATCATCATAATTAGCCTTGCCCCAACTATTTATGGTACGTTTTTCTAGTGCTCATTTTTATTCATTGCAGCTATGATTAGCAATTCACTCGACTTGAAGAGATAGTGTATGGAGCATTTAGCTGTGAGGACCTGAAGCTAAAAGGACTCATGAGAAATCTCGATGTGGCTTAGGGAAACCCCAGGAAGCCTGGGCTTTTGCCTAAAGAAATCAAGGCTGAAAGAAACTCAAAAAAGATCTTAGGAAGATGTTTGCTCGAGAACCAAGTACCTTCGTAACCAAGAAGATTATTGTCGAGCAATTATGATGCTAACATGAATCCACATGTACAAAGTTAGCATTGAAATCAATACTACAACTAGTAATCCTAATTTATTATGTTAATTAAGGGCTGAAGTTGGTACCACACTGTCTTTAATGTAATCAAAATTCTCGCTCATTGTAAATATATGTTGTGGGAATTATGAAATGAGATCAAAGAACGACTTCCACAACTCAAACTAATGTAGATCAAAGAGTTCTGGGATAAAGGGATCTCGAAGAGAGGCTATGAGGAATATGGGAGCAATAAGAAGGAGAATGCAATGAAGCATCATCGTCCTCCTCGTATATTTACCTAGATCTTCCTATGAATGAAACTTTGATTGTTTCTTGCTAAAAAAATAAGAATATGATTAAAAATCCCACTCTGTGCTTGACTCTGTGTTGGATGGAACGGATATGAAATACTTGAGTTTGCAAGTAATCCTATCGGAATTACTTGATTTCGCAAGCAACCCTACGATAAATTGGTAAAAAAAGCGAGAAAGAACACAAAAACGCCAACAAAATCAATCCAAAACAGTAGATTGTATTAGGGAAATCAAAGCAAAGCAAGCATAAAGCAAAGATAAAATTGATCCTCAATTCGAAAGGAGGATCGTACTCTCCCAATCTCTAGATGATGAGTCTAGAGCCCAAGACGCCAAGGAAAACTCCAAGAGAACAACTCAAATCATGTATGTCCTAACCCTAGCCTCCCTCCCTCTTTTAATACATATCTTCCTAATAAAAACCAATAAAAGATTTCCTAAAATAAACCAATTATTCAAATTGTTTCCCTATGCAAGTCCCCCCCCCCTTTCCCTCTCTCTCTTTGCCTCCCTAGGGGGGCCCACACACTTGGGCGGCATTCAAAGGAGGCGGCTTAGCCCGCCTCTTGTGGGTATGAACCGGCCCAGGTTGGGCCGGTTTGGATGGTTCAGGTCAAACCGTAACAATATTGCCTTCCAAAAGAACCACCTTGTCCTCAAGGTGAAAGCTAGGAAACTGATGTTTGACCCTCTCGTATAACTCCCACGTGGCATCATAGTCAGGAAGATTCTTCCACTTGATGAGCATTTCCTTAATTCCATCTTCTTGCTGGCAAACTCCATCAACTCTAAAGGTTCCATAATCACCTCTAAATCCTTAGTAAGTGCCACCAGTAGCTCCGAGCTGGCTGTATAATCCCCAATGGCCCTTCTCAATTGAGATACATGAAAAACCGGATGTACAGTCGTCGTTGGTGGTAGTTTTAGCCGATATGCTACCGACCCAATCTTATCCAATACTTCATAAGGTCCAAAGTATCTTGGAGCAAGCTTCTCATTCCTCCTATGGGCGACTGTCTTCTACTATATGGTCGGAGCTTCAAGAACACCCTCTCCCCTACTTCGAATTGGATGTCCTTCCTATGCCCATCAGCTTGTTTCTTCATAATTTTGAACTCTTAGTAAATGTCTCTTCAACTCCTCTAACACTCTGTCTCTCTCCCCCAAGTACTCCTCCACTGAAGAAACTGGAATACTGCTACTCCCAAAGTGCACCAACTGAGGAAGATTCCTTCCGTACAACACCTTGAATGAGCTCATCTGAGAAGCAGAATGATAAGAGGTGTTGTACCTATACTCGGCCCAAGATAGCCACTTAGCCCATAGCCTGGGTGTCTCTGACACGAAGTATCTCAGGCAAGTCTCCAAGCTCCTATTGACTACTTATGTTTGACCATCCGTCTGTGAGTGGTAGGCGGTGCTCCTCTTCAGAACTGTCTCCAGTAATTTGAACAACTCCCTCCAAAAATGGTTGAGGAACATCTTATCTCTATCTGATACTATCGCCTCTAGTACTCCATGCAACATAACCACCTCTCTGATGAAAGTTGAAGCCACTCTCACCGGGATGTATGGATGTTGGAGGGGGATGAAATGAGCATACTTTCTTAATCTATCCACCACCACCAGAATCACCGTGAAACCTTTTGAACGAGACAATCCATCTATGAAGTCCATGGATATCTCCTCCCATACTAGTCCTGGTAAAGTCAACAGCTGTAATAGTCCTCCTGGCAATATAGCCAGGTATTTGTTCCTTTGACAAACCTCACACATGGCCACCATTTCCTCCACATCTCTGTGCATCCCCTTTCAATACAACTCCGAGGCTAACCTCCTCTATGTCTTTTGCACCCCTGAATGACCCCCAACAGCGCTCCCATGAAACTTCTAGAGTAAGTTTGGAATGTGGATTGAGGTCTGGGGCATCACAAACCTCCCCTGATACAACAGTTTATCCCCCTCCAAGGAGTACCCTAGGTGGCTAACCCCTTCCCTCAATAAATCTGTCATGATCTTTCCCAACTCCTCATCCCTAGCACTCTCCTCCCTGATGGCCTTCCAATCTAGCATCAAAGGAACCGATATTGCCATTGTCTGCAGCTACCCCATACATCTAGACAAGCATTTGTTGCCTTGTTCTCCACTCCTGACCTATAATGAATTTCGAAATTATATCCCAACAATTTAGTCAGCCACCTCTGATGCACCTCAGTCACCATCCACTGCTCTAACAAGTACTTCAGGCTCCTTTGATCGATTATGACAATGGAATGCCTACCTAACATGTAGGGTCGCCACTTTTGGATGGCTAAGATGATGGCTATCAACTCATAAACTGATTTCAGCTTGACTCTGACTGTCAATACCTGGCTGAAGTAGGCAATGGGTTGACGATTCTGCATAAGGACTGCCCCCAGTTCCTATCCTGAAGCATCTGTCTCAACTATGAAGGCTTGAGTGAAGTTTGGTAAAGCTAAGACTGGTACAATAGTCATAGTCTTCTTTAGTCTCTCAAATGATGTTGTGGCTGCCTCTCCCGATAAGAACCCATCTTTCTTCAGCTGCTCTGTCAATGGTTATGTTATAGTATTGTGTCCTTTTACAAACCTCCTATAGTACCCCGTTAGTCTTAAGAATCCTCTCAACTATCAAAGTTAAGTCTACCCCTTCATCTTAAAGTATAAAAACAACAAACGATTTTGAGTAAATAAACTTTCACTTGAAATAACTTTATAATCTTTGCAATATAAACGATCTATTTTTAGTTCTAAACTATAAATCTCTTCAGCCAGTATACCAAAGTTAAGTCCTAAACTATCAATCTTCTTAGCCAAAATACCAAAGTTAAGTCCTAAACTATCAATCTCCTTAGCCTTCGTTCCAACCCATTTAGTTTCATGAATGCATAAAATATTTATCTTCATATAAATCATAATATTAATTAATTCCATTAATTTGCCTATAAGAGAACTACATTCCAAGATCCTATCCGAATTCTAGTTTCATGGATTTGCTTATTTGCCCACATCCGTCCATGATCTGAGAACCCTTGCATATTCAACACTGCACCCAGGCACCAATGCAGCAGCCCTTGCAAACTTCTCATTGTATTCAGGCCATATATCGCGTCGCTTATAGGGAACGCCCTAGCATTAACATAATATAGTGAAGGATTCATGTCATGATTATTCAACAAATTTTACACTGGCTATCGACTACCTAACGTAACCCTCCACTTTTCTCATCCAAGACTTGGGACCTAACAATGACAATATTAAGATACTAAAAAGTTGTCAGGACCAGCGTAAAACTTTTCGAATAATATAAGAAATTATTCTCAAATTGAAGAATTTGGGGATTAATAAAAAATAAGCAATATATATATATATATATATATAATATATTAAACTTAAATAATGAGTAATTAGAAAGTAAAAAATAAGCAACATTTGCAATCTTGGTTTCACGATATAAACTAGAAGGGAATGCATGTTGAATAAGAGATGATCAAACTACAAACTACCATCCCATAATGCTTTTTCCAAATTTAACAGAAGTCATTAGATTTCATAAACTTATAGGTTAAAAGTAGGATTTACCTCATCAACACTTTTTCCAAAGTGCCTTGCTCGCTCTTGTCTTTCATGCTTCAGTCTTCTAAAGAGGCGTTGTTCAATGTGATCACTAAGAATAGTTCTTGGCAAATCTTTAGCCCCTAGAACTGCACTTTGAGGCAAAGGCTTGCGCTCTCCTTTTTCTATCTCCTCTATGTAGCAATTAGGACATGTATATTCCGCTTGTCCACCGTCATTCCTTCTTCCATTAAAAAGAGCACAAATTTGATGTTGCCAGGCTTCACACTTGTCGCACTGAACCCACTGTAGTGCAAATGAAACCACAAGAATGATCAGTGTACAGTAAATAGTAAGCATTTTCTATGAATCCCACAGCCCTTTAACCATCAGTTAGGAGGGAATAATAAGTAAAATGGAATGGCAAGGTGTGAACTTACCCATTCTTCAGTTTCTTCATCGTTTTTCTTTTTCTCAAGCCTCAATTTTGGAAATGTAGATCCCTCCGCTTCAATAGTGTCACCACGAGCCTCATTGTAACATGGAATGCAGAAGTAGTGACGTGTGTCGCCGGTCCCCACAGTATAATACATTGCATTTCGCTTTATGCGAGCACCACATGGTGTGCAGTATATAGGAGGGGGTTCAAAGGTAAGCTTCTCCACAGCACACAACTGACAAGAGTTTTCACTCATTGAACGTTCCATAGCTTGATTTTTTTCAGCCTTGGCTTTGCTCTGAGAACAAACATTACTTTAGAAATCTCATCAACTCGAAAGTGTCTCAAGAAGCACACATATGTATAAAAAAAGGTTGAGCCAAAAGACAATTTAATTGCCACAATACGATGAAGTAATCATTAAAGGGTTATAGAAGAAATGTTAGGAAATATCATATTAAAAAGATAAAGTCGCTAGCGATCCCTACAAGAAGGTTGAGATGAATATCAACCATATTTTTAACAAGAGACCGCAACAAATGTTAGCAGCAAGTTCTAATTTTTTTACATGGATTCATACGGATGAACTATACAAGTTTCAAATGATGTTACATCTTTGAAGTGAAACTAAAAATGAATAAATACACGATCAACACAGGACATGTTCAAAAGACAAAAAGATTAACTATATAATCAATACCCAAAAAGTTGCAACTTTACTAAGTGGTGATGGAAATGATGGCGTACAACAAACAAAAATAAAATGTCAACTGATAGCTAACTGTGGCAAGTTTCAGCACATGTCAATGATATAATAAAGTAGACAACTAAAATGCAGATGGGCCGGCAGAGCATTTGCACTGTGTATTTTTTTCTCTCAAAATCATACTGGAAATTACAATCCATCGAATGAAAGAAAATAGTATCACCTAAAAATTTTTACAAAAATGATTAGGACCAGCTGTGTCATATGGATCCATGGAAAAGGGTATAATTACGAAGTCAATTTAGTAAAGGACGAAATGCAAAATGAATTGATTGATCAGACGGTATATTTTTATGTAGTATGTAGTATCTCTTCACATATGCAAACTTACATGTATGTATATGTGTGTGTGTCTGTATATATATATATATATATATATATATCAAAAGAGTTCTAGTTCAAGTGGCATTTTCATTGCTAACCAGGGTAAAGAACACAAGTTCAAATTCGACCAATGATCTTTAATTAAGCTAAATATTTATTGATTCCCTAATCTGATCTGTATTTGGCCTTGGGCTCTCTTTATCTATAATAACCCGAGCATCTCTTATCTACAAGACTACAACTAGCTTTGTAACTTCTTATTAGTAACTAGCCTTGTGTACTATTTTCAATTAAAATTAATCCCTCCTCTATATATATATATAGAGAGAGATATATATATATATATAGAGAGAGAGAGAGATAAAGTTATAGGCGGGAATTTTATTTTGCAAGATTTCCCCCTTCCAAAGCATCAATACCAACTCTAATACTGCGGAAATAACATTTCGCTTCCTTATTTTGCCCTTACAAACTATATCGATGCAACATTAAGTCCCACAAAAATGCATCTATATACAAGAAAAAGGTTGTATGAGGGGAAGGAAAATCTTTTTCTAAATATGCTCGATGAAATCCAGATATCATTGCCTTTATCAACACATTAAAAACTCACTTGCCCTTCAGCCTCCTCCAAAGAATATTTAGATGTCAACAACAACCTTCAAAGGGATTCTAGCACTCACGCAAAATATTCTAAGCGAAGCAGCTTCATAAATTTTCTCGGCACCATTAGTCATTGAATCATTTGATGGGCTCACTATCATAATCCATTGCTCTATAGGAGAACACATCCCCCCACCAACACAGAAGAGAAAAAGACGACCAACCAATCAGGTTGGTCTCAGTAAATTTTTTCTGTCAAATTGCTTAAGGTGGAGCGACACATACCATTATGGGATGGTTTACTAAGATAATGCAAAGGATAATAGAAAGGCGTATCATCTAACCTGGCCGACCCATTGCCTCAAGCTGGTTATGTGCTCCCTAATTTGCTCTGGAGTGAATAATTCAGTCAACGATACGCCTTTTATCTTTGGTTTGCCAGACTTGCTGATAGAAGTGGGGTCAGTTGGTGGTACAGTAGCATCCTGATTGCTTTCCATCTTAGCATGAGAATTCTCTTTCTCAAGAGGATGCATTTCCTTCTTGGTGTAACCATCAGATTCTTTCCGAGGAGAAGGTTCAGCAGCAGTTTTTGCAGGAAGGACTTGGCTAGGCATATCATCAAGTTGGCTACCTGATATAGGAAACTGTCTATATACCGAGGGTGTATCCATCTTCACTTCAAAAACCTCTGATTTACAAGGAAAACCTGCAACAACTTGTTCATAGTTATTGAACTGTGTCTCCTGGGGAGGTTCAAGTTGGTTAGCTGGAGGAACAGAAACCAGAGATGATTCTGTCTTTGGTACAAGAGTAGAAGGATGCTCAACCTTCATGCGCTTGGAAGAAGGTTGTTGACAATCAGATGCTTCGCTAGGAGTTGAACATGCTTTATTCACCACCTTATCCAAACCCAGAGGCTTAACATCTTTCCAAGAGCCATTCATCTTGTTTGCCAAAATAGAACTAGATGGTCTATAATTATGTGCCCTCGCGGACCCTACAAACTCGCGCACTGGATTGCATACTGGACAATCTGCTGCTTTACAAGTGCTGTAATGATTAATCAATTTCTTTGACGGAGAACAGCGAGGGAACATGCAGTTAGTTGATTCACACCTTTCTATATGCACCCATAGCTGCTGAACCTTAATGCAGTTGGCTTCCGTGCACTGTCCTTTAGGAGATGGACACTTGCGAGAATGGAGCAGAAGTAACAGCCACCTCTTCTGGTTAAAATAGTCTCTTTCCCTGTTAGGTTTAAGAGGTTCACATGACACTCTATTTGATTGAGGCAGAGAAGCACGTGCAATATAAGCATGAGCATCAGAAGAGATCACAGGTTGATGTGATTCATCCTTCTCCACAATTCTCTGTAGAAATTCCTCCTGTATATTCGGATCAAATGCAAGATTCTCTTGGATTTGTGATTTCTGTTGGGACTGAGGGTTCCAATGTTCCTGAGGACGTACATCAGTTTGTGATCCAACAAAGAGACAACTAAGCTCATTTTGTGAATCCGCAGTCTGCTCCTCTGCTTGCAAAATCTGTTGTGAAACATGGGAAGGTAAAGGCTGAAAATTCTGAGGACCCTGCACCTGACCAAGCAATTGAGCACCTTTGGATAAATTCCCAGAGGATGTATTATGTTGGTATTGCTTCTGCAATTCAGAAAGGTGAAATTGTTCATTGGCCTGTGGAAGGAACGGTTCATTATTGCATTCAATACCAACTTCTGGCAGTAGCTGCCCTGTAAAATTTGAAGGGATGGAAGGCTGTCTCAAATTATCTGCATTTGACATAAGTTGATGAAGCTGCTGATTATGTTGATGATATCGTGGGTGCTGAACAAGCTGTACATTTGACTGGTTAGGCTGTTGAAACTGTTGTTGCTGAAACTTTTGCATCTTTTGTTGTGATTGAATAAGTTGTTCTTGTGTTGAGGGTGTTGTCTGAAAATTCATACTTTGAGAGCCATCAAGCTTTTGAGGTTTCAGGTGAGTTTGCTGAATTGACGAAAGACTTGTGTGATGAGAAAGCATTCCTTGGTTTGTTTTTGATTTAAAATTCCCGTCTGGGTTCAAGTTTTGACTATTCACAGACAATAAAGCAGTTGAGCCAGGGCCATATATGTTCGCAGATCCAGAGAGATCAGATGTACTCATAGCATATCCATCACCTACCAAAGGTAACATCTGCTGCGACATTGATGCTGAATGATAAGAAAAGTCGGAATAATTTTAGATTTAATAAAAAAAATTAACAGAGAAAACAAAAATTATAAATGAAGAAGCACAAATGAAGACCCAAGAACCAGAAAAAATGTGAAGTAGATAAGAGAGCACAGCATAATCTTGAAGAAAGGGAGACAGTGTAGGTGCAATTACTTGGTACAAAAGTCTGATGTTGTTGTTTGTCCAGGTTCTGCTGAAAAGACTTCGGAGAAACCCCATAAGGAACTGGACAAAGATATCCTTCAGGGGCTGTAGGACCATTCGTATGTTGCAGGTTACTCCCAATTAGACTACCAGTAGCACCATTCATAACTCCATTGGGGAAACTATAAGGAGAAGGCTTGTGCTGTATGTTGGATCTCGTACCACCTCCCATTCCTACACCATGAAACATATGGTTGCTATGATTTCCAACATACTGCTTCGTTTGTTGCTGTGAAACCATGGATGAATCCATGCTAGAGTGTACAACCCCACTGGAAGATTCAGAGTTTAACGAAATGGATTGTTGATTATTTAATCCAGGGGTCGGGATCATTTGGTTTGATTGGCGCATCATTCCCATGGATGACAACATATTGCTTCCCCCGGAATTATGGACAATATTGGCTGGTGGTTGCTGATACCCATTTAAGATTGACCCTGAAAAGAAGCAATAATGTTGCTACTTGTAGGAAACTAAAGAAAAACATCAATAAGGTAAAGGGAAAAAAAACGCATTGCAGTTATACCGGCGGATGCATTAAAAGAGCCAATTTGATTGAAACCAACTGATCCGTTAGCATTAGGTATCATGTTCCCCACATTCACTGCAGCATGTGTAGTCATACCACCAGCACTGACAGACATCATGGTGTTACCTTGAGATACTGTAGAGCTTTTATTTCCAAAATTGGGCATGCCAGGTGTAGGTATCATTGTACTGACAGCTGATGGTGATATATAATGGGGCTGTTGACTGTTATTAATAATCTTTGTTATTCCCTGTAACCGCTGTTCAATTGTAGTCGATGTCATGTTGATGTAGTCCTCTCCCTGATCAGTTAAGTCACATTCCACTAAAGATGTGAAATTAATTGATCCAAGATTATACTTTAGAACAAAAACCATAGAATCATGATAGCTTAATTTTTATTTTAAGCGTTGCCAATACCCCAATACAAGTGAATCTTATTTCACAAAACCAACAACAACAAACCTTTATCCCACTATGTGAGATCGGCTACATGAATCATTTTTCTCCATTGTGTCCTATTAAAAGTCAAATTCTCGTTTAAATCTCATAGAGAAAGATCATTTCTAATATTTTCTAACCAAGTTTTTTTTAAGCCTGCCACTAGCTTTCTTAACATAATTCAAATCTAATACCTCTACTTTCCTAACCGGGTCATCGGAAGGCCGCCGTTTTATGTGACCAACCATCTAAGGCGAATCTTAGTTCACAAAAAGTACATAAATATTCATGCAGACAGAGAACAGTCTGATTGAAGCAAAAGTACCTGTGAAAGAGAATCCCTGTAGATGCGTTCTTCAAGGCGCCTAGCAAGCTCGGATATTTTCTGCATAACTTCTGGACTTGGATTATAACTCTTTCGCTGAAGAATTTGAATGCTGAAAAAGGATTACCATAAGAGATGGAAAAAATGTTATACGAGTAGATGATATTCAGCATGGGCAAATGTATTATTAAGGATTTAAACAAAAAAGCATAGTCAAGGTAGAGATGTATATCAACGTTACCATCTATGAAGCACAGATATTTCAAAAGTCCTTTTGTACCCATGTTAGACACGAATAAGCCACACCCCGACACAAGTCTGATGATCTAAAAATTGACTGATGCAATATCTTTCAAAATTAGAGTTGTACATGGCTGATTATGGTGATTTTGTTTCTTTCTCAAAGAGCTAGCTTTTGTAAACTGTTTTCTTTCTCAATGATGGTCAAGGTGATGTTGGAAAGAACATTAGTGACATTTATTATGATTGTGGCAGCACAAAATGTGTTTGGTTCAAATAGTGATACATCAACCGGATCACATTTTGTGTAGTTATTTTAAAGTTTTTTTTTTTTTTTTTTTTTTTTTTTTTTTTTTTTTTTTTTTTTTTTTTTTTGCATTTGGTATTTTATGTGAACAATAAAATGTTGATTTTGACACAATCATGTCTAATTACTCATGCTAATAATGGGTTATAGTTAATAATTGTGATGAAATATTAAAAAATAATTGTACTAAACCTTTTTTTTGTTGAACTTGAAGCTTTTTATGCAATATTTATAATATCAGATTTAACTATTTAATGTTTTTTTTTAATTTGAAAACATAAAAATCAGGTATTTTGATTACATATTTTATATTAATAATTTATAAAAGAAAATATCATATACATGATATTTTGTGCCCTAACTTTTATAATTCTGTCATACTCGTATATCATGTCTGTCTTTATATTTCATGAGCCGTCATCATCAGCCTTATCCAAATATTTAGGATTGGCTACCTTTTTTCATTCATTCTTACTGACTTGTTACATCTAATCCTTGGAAATCATTTTGAACGTCTTCTATCTACAAGTTCACTTCCTTTCCAAATCCCTCAACACTAAATTTATCTACCCACCTAATGGGTTCATTTCTACCCTTCAATGTATATGTCCAAAGCATTAAGTCTATTATCAATTATCTCATATTCAATAGATGTCATTGTAATTATCCTCCGCTATATTTATTCCTAGGTTTATCCTTTTAGTTTTTTCACATATACATCTTAATATTCTCATTTTGTTGCGCTTGGCTTAACTATCAACAACTTTTTAGTAGCCAACACTCAGATCCATACAACATAGTGGGTATAATTGCATCATTAAATAATTAACTTCAACTCTAGGTGATATCCTTTTATCACATAATACCCCTAAGAAAGTTCACTATTTTAATCACTCGGTCTAAAGTCTAGAAGTAAACATTTTTCATAATATATTTAGTTAGTAAAATTACCAAAATTTTATGTACATGACCCACCAAAAAATTATATTCATGAACTACATTTTTCATAAATAATAGAAAAAAAAGAATAAAATAAATTCATGAGATGGAAGCAAAAGAAAAAAAGGTGGTAACAAGTATAACAGTGCAACGGTCTTACTCACATGAGAACCACTTGAGATATAACAACATACCTTAAATAGTGATATTGGACATCATGGCAAATATGATGTAAACATACAAACATCATAAGTAAAATATTAGAATTGTTCATGATAAATGAAATGAAATTGCATTTCTAGTAGAAATCAAGGTCATTGTAGATTTAGCCTCAACCAGATAGAATCCAAGGTGATTAATTATAAAAATTGGTAACGAACATGATGAAATCCCACATACTCAAAAAAAAAAAAAAAAAATACAGGTAGGCTTGTCCTTAAATGAAGAAGCTATCCAGCCACTCATCAACTTGTCTCCCATCTCAAAGTGCATTGGACGGTTAGATCCTATTCCTAAGTAAGCAATCGATATAGAAGTAGTAACCCCTATGCACGTAGCATATCATGATAAGAATTCACATATATCTCAATGAATCTTTATCAAGGTCATAACTCAAAGCAACATAACAATAGGAAATACAATATTGAGCAGTATAAGATCTTTGAGCGATGCAACTAAATAAAAAAGATTTAGGATAGGTGTTAATGAGCATGCTGTCATGTGATAGAAATTATCTAGCATATTGCCCGATACTTAGATTATATATTTCGATTTGGTAACCATATTCTATGGCAATACCATGTTGGCATGGTACACCAAGGAGCGCCACACAATCAACTCAAATATTACTTGAAACAATAATATTTCACATGAATGTTTAACCACTATATGAACATGCATTGCTAGTGGCAAAATTGAATAAATTTAATCATGGGTTGTGAGCTCGTACAACCAGCTTGAACCTTTACATTAACTAGATCATCTCAAAGGATATATATCCAAAGTTGATACCCTAGAGTAAACTCCATCAGCTGTACAGTGAACAAAATGGTGGGCTAATCATCATCATCATCAACAACAACAACAAGCCTTTATCCCACTACGTGTGGTTAGCTATATAAATCATTTTTCTCTATTGGGTATTATGAAGAGGCAAATTCTCATTTAAATCTAATTTTTTAAAAAAATCATTTTTAATACCATATAGCCAAGTCTTTTTTGATTTATCTCTATTTTTCTTAACATAGGTCAAATCTAATACAACTACTCTACTAGCGGGGTCATTTGAAGGACAATGCTTTATGTGACCAAACCATCTAAGGCAACTCTTTCTAATCATATCTGTCATTGGAGCTACTCCAACCTTTTCACGTATATACTCATTTCAAATTTTGCCTCTAACTGTAAAGTCACTCATCCAGCTGAGCATAATATCTCCGCAACACTTAATTTTATGCTTGTCTAAGTTTGGTAGGTACTTCTCTATCACATAACAAGCCTGATGTTTTCCTCCACTTCAACCATCCAACTTGAATTCTACTAATAATATCCCATATATTTTGCCATCGCTTTGAACAATAAACCCGAGATACCTAAAACGTACAGTTTTTAATGACTTGATCACCCAATGTCATAATCCAACCATTAGATCTATTACTATTAAATTTCCATCCATGTAATTGATTTTAGATCTACTCAAACGAAAACACTAAGACTTTAAGGTTGACCTACATAATTCAAATTTTTCATCAACTACCTCTAGTCTTATCAATAACAAAGGATATCATAAGCAAAAAGCTACACCAAGGTACATCCTCTTACAAATGTCTGGTAAGAACAGCCATGACTAAAGAAAAAAGATATGGGCTTAAAACAGACATTAATGCAATCCAACTGAAATAGAAAAATAATTTGTCAAACCACCTTGTGCTTGAAGTCTTGAACACAAGTAGCAGCTCTTGTATGCATATCCTTAATTACTTGAATATAAGTATTATTAACTCCTTTCTTTTTTAGAACTCTCCAGAGCACTTCTCTTGAAACTTTGTCATGTGCTTTCTTTACATCAATAAATATAATTAAATTTTATTTTCTTTAGAACCTCTCCAAGTTCGGTTTTAATAATATGACGATAAAAATATAAATTTTTACTTTCATTTAGGTGGCTAAGATCACTAAATTCAATCGTATTCTCACAACCTTCATTAAAAAGTTTTCCTTTTGATTCTCCAAGCAAACTTTACAATATATTTAATATCACCCCCTACTTTTTTCCCGAATAACATTAAATTTATCATGGATAACTTAGATCTTAAGATATTGAATATTACTCTAAAACATATTTTTATTAACGTTCTTTAATCTAATACTAGGACAATATTTTACTTCACCCTATCATCTTAACATCCAAACTAATAAACAATGTTGGATACATAAACTTCTACTTGGAATGATTTTACAATCTTTGTAATCTAAACAAACTTTTTTGTAAGAAAATAATAAATATGAGTTTTATTACTTTTATTCTAAGTCATGAGATGCTCCTCTCTTTTCTTAAATAAAGTAAACAAAATAAATCATGCACCAAAAACACTAGTGTATACAATAGCTTTGAGAATTTTTTTCCTAAGTGAGATTTCATGAGGCCCAAACAATTAACTTCAATGCTAACTATCTGAAAATGTTTTGAGAGCCTTCCTATTTACCAAATAAATAATGGAAGCAAAATGCCAGTACAATAAATTCAACTGGTAAACAACTATAAAACAGGCATGATTGTGATATAGGAATAATATAACTAGCTAACTAAAGCATTATCACTAATAACAATTTTGCATTCAATATTAAATCTCCCGCATTTGATATTACCATAAAAAATGGAAGTTTATAAATGTTCAAAGCCAGTGTTATATCCAACTCTATGAAAAAAAAGCCTGTGATAACAAGGCAACAATTTAAGAGCTGCATTTTGCAGAATTGAACTTACATATAATCCTGTGTTGTCCTCCTACGCTTGATCAACAGCTCAGGATCCATTCTATGGGCATGAGGGCCAAGATTTTGCATCTGGGATGACAATGAATTCACTGTTAGCTGACAGGACCCAGAAACCGGCTGAACTGCCTGATTTGTAGACTTCGCAGACAACTGTGCTTGTACATTGATCTCCTATCTAGAAAATGATAAGACGCATCATGGCTCAGCCATGGAGGATCCTACATCCAGCACGACAAATGCATGAAGTCTCCACCAAAATTTATCTCTTCGTCTAAGCAAAATCTTAGAAGCAGTCAGTTGCATTCTTTAAATGGCCAGAAGCTTTTTTCAATGCGCCTTCATAGACAATATCAACATAATTAAGCAGTCAAACCAGTAAATACGGCATAAGGAATACAACCACAATTACATTCAAACTTTGCAATGCAACTTCCACTGAAGGAAAGTGGTGCAACGAGACAATAAGCTTTTTAGAAGTACTCTGAAGCGCCAAAAAAAACAAAAAGAAAGAAAAAAGATCTTACCGCTATCCCAATATAAAAAACCGAGCTTCCAGGCTATAGATATGAATTGAAGAACGTAAAAGTTCACGAATTCCACCCAGAAAATCTAAAAGCAAGCTAAAACTCAGCAAGCTCACTAAGAACAAATAGGAAACGAATAAGAATGCTGGAAAAAGAGTTGCTTATATAGGGTTTCTGTACGAAAAGCAACAAAACCAGACACGTTTGTCCATTAACAATCACTTTAAACCCTTTCTTCATTGAAGATTCAATTGGAAGCAATTGAAACGGAAAAAAAGGCGAAGTTGACTCACTCGTTCACGCTTTCGCGGAGCGCTACGGAGGCGGTTTCCGGTTAGAAAGTTCGTGATCGCGATCAGGAACTTCGCAATGTCACGGGCGAAATTGGAAGGTATGGCCCCAATTTCGTTTCAGATCTTCAGAAAACTCGGATTGCAAAAGATTATCCAAGATTGCATCTTTCCTTCTGTTTCTGAAGAACAGAGATTAGTGCCCTAACGTGCCCGCTCGCCGGGGTGAATTTTACCTGGTTGTATTGACTTTCCCGACCAGAGTTCTAATTTTATTTCAAACATGCCTTTTGCTCGACCTTTTTTCTCTTCTCAACAAATAAAAATTAAAAAAAAATAACTCTTTTTTTTTTCTTTTTTTTTTCAATTTATATTACTAAACAAACATTTTACCACAAACCATATACCACTTTGTATCACTCTCCCCAAAATTATTGGCCTCATGGGCTACTTTTATTTGCAATAATTAGAAAAAATGATCTTTTTCTACTAAATGTATAATTTTTTATCTCTTTAAGTTAATAAATGCAATTTTTTATCATGATTTTATGTGGGTTAGATTTATTTTTGGGATTTTGTTAGTTGACAATAATAATCATAAAAAGTTAACAAATGTCAACCATCTAAATAAAAAAAGGAGAAGAAAAAATATTTAATCTAATTAAATTATATTTATGGAGTGATGAAATGTAATCATAATTATGACATAATGGAAATTCAAACTTTTCAAGGAATGTATCATTGTTTCTAAATGGAAATTGTAATATAAACTTTGCAAGTTGATTAGTTTCATGTCAAGAAATAATAGGAATGGTTACAATTGTGAAGATATAGATGGAAAGATGACTTATAATCCCAAAATTTGATCACCATGCTAAATTAGTTGGATCAAAAATTTGATCATCATATTAAATGATGCATATAAGCATTAATTATATATATATATATATTGCAGTGATGGTAATATTATATGATGATTGATAAAGTGATGTGTACTATGATTATTATATATTGATTATTTAGAATTTATTGTTTTGTGGTATGAAATGATTTCATTTGGATGATTTTGTTTTACTATTTTGATTATGTATTAGTAGCTCTATGTTATAACACATAAAAGATAAAAATGAATTCCTTTCAAATATGTCTCATGTAATATCTAATGTGCACTTATCATGGTCTAACTTGCTTCGATGTGAGGGTTATGTCATTTAGGTTGCGATACAACTTTTGATATTAGAGTAGTAGGATTTGGAGGAATTAATTTATGACAAAGCAATATGATTGCTTTGTAGATAAATGATAGAAATTGAGTATTGTAAGTTTTTTTAAACCTTTATGTGTATGTGTGTATCATTGTCATTTATTGTATGTGGTTTCTTAGGTGTGGGTGTTGTGATTGGGTCTGTATAAATTTTTAAGAGCAAGATGCGGCAAATTGGCATAGTTCTAATAAAGTTATACTATTACAAAGTACTGCAAGCAATGCCTTTTGATTATATGACATAGTTTGCTAGCTCGATGTCCAAATTGATAGGTAAGTTATTGAGAAAAATGTATGTTATTAGAGTTTAGGAGGCGTATAAGCATTTGGTATTAATTTTTAGAACAAAGCCACCTCATTTCAATAATACAGTGGATCATTATATTGTAGAAGACTAGTCATTGAGATTGAAGAAGTCCTTTGACAACATGTAATGCCCAAAGGATAACATAGTGTCTTCGTAAGTATTTTTATTCAATAGTGGGGCTAATTGTTGGTTGATATAATAATAAAGGAAGAAGGGTCAAGGCCGGATGAATGTCGATATTACTTAGGAGGAGTTCCTTGAAACCCTCAGAGATTATTTTATACTACCACCAGCCAAACAGTAAATGTAAGAGTTCTTTCTGAGATTGGTGTTAATAAACAAAATAAATAAATAAAAAATCCATATAATTCTAATACTCCCTTGCACGACTTACTAACAAGCCCACACGAAAACCATTTCGTGCATCAAACCCCATACCTGCACATGACTCTCTCAAATCCCCAAACAAACCCTTCTCTACCCCTCTCTAGCTCACTATCTAACTGTCTCTGGTCATTTTTCTATTTGTGACACCTCTAGATTTAACATTTGATTCTACTTGTTCTGACTCAAATTGAAATAGAAAAATATTTTAAGTTTTGTATTTTTAAACCCATTTGTATGTGTTTCAAAATATTTTGGTGTATGAAAATAGTTTGCATGTGTTTGAGTCCCAATGGTTTGGAGTGCATTTTAGCTAAAAAAAAATCTAAAATTTTATAATTTGACCACATATGTGCTAGGTGTCTGAGCCTCGTAGTGATGCAATACTTCCAAGGTGCCAAATAATGACATTTAAACATTGTAGTATCGAATTTTTGAAAAATGAACAAACATCGTAGTTTTAGGCCACTAATTACACTTTAAATATAAAATGAAACCACTATTTCATTCATTCAGAGCGCTACATGCAATCGAAGTAGAGAGAGAATGAGAGGATTTTATAGAGAAAGAAGGTTTTTTTTGGGGGGGGAGAGAGAGAGAGAAGAAATTTTGAGTCACTTCGGGTCATTTTTAGCAGTCGGCCCAGTTGGGAAAGTTGTCCATAACGAGGTATGACACATTATACCTTGTTGTGGTTTGAAAAGGTGATTTGCCTTGCAAAGAGCAAAACAAATCAAAATTAATTTTCTTTAGGAAAATTCCTAGTATGACACATTATACCTTGTTGTGGTTTGAAAAGGTGATTTGCCTTGCAAAGAGCAATACAAATCTAAATTAATTTTCTTTAGGAAAATTAGGAATTACATTTAAATTTGAAATCTGGAGTCGAATAGGCCATTAGGGATAATTTATCACCTCAGAAGGGGAAGATAAAATCACCTAACGGGTTCAAACTCGGAATTGTAGATTTTCTCTTGAATGTTGTAGTTTGATTTAAGAGAGAATCACATATGCCCCGAAGGGTCAGAATGACATTCAGTCAAATATGACCTGACTACGATAAACAAGAGGAGTGATCGTTAATTTCACATTCAAATTTATGTTAGTGAATTATGTGTCTCCCAATGGGAGAAAATATCACTCGTTAGCAATTGTTCGATTATGACGATAACAATCATTATAAATTTGATTTTTCAAAAAAAAAATATTGATCGAGATTTGAAAAATTGATGTGTGTTTTAAATCTCATACGAGCATAAGCCCTCGTAGTTAACTATTTTATTAGTCAAATGTCAAACAAATGGCTAAATGAGCTAGAATGGTCAAACTAGCTTTAATAAGCACTTAACTTCAAATCCAATTCATTTCAGCAATTAAAAGCTTCTCTAGAAGCTTCTTAAGCAGCTCCTAATCCTATTTCAAGCATTAAGCTGATCCTAAACTCAACCCAAATGCTCCCATGTGCACAAGAGGATAAAACTCCCTTTACACATCATTGTCCTAGTTTTGTCCTATCCCCTGCCTCTCTAACGTTATGGAAAGCATCTTGACAAGCTGCCAAAACCATCTCAGCCGTCCACATAGCCCAAGGACTTGAATTGGGCAAATGAGACCAAACAAGTCTCATTCTTGACCTAACTTTCTCTCACCATCAAGAGCCTCTCAAACCCAACTCTAATTTTACTTGAGCTCCAAAACATCTCACCAACATTTTCCAAGCTCAATCTTACCGGCCAAACCCTGTCGGCGATCCTCCGGGCACCCCAAACACCACTTCCATCCTAGGCCGAGAATGCGCGATCCAAGGCATTTTAGACAGCACTTTTTTAAGGGGATTTTGTGTGGACAATCTACAAATGCTACCATTCATTAAATGGCCATGCCATCCATTAAACCGAGGTAAAACTCCAACCCAAGATTAGGACACTTATAGTCAAATAGCTTTTTGAAAATTGCATTTCAAACTAGTAATTTAACCCCCCATTAATGATATTCATTAGTACATACTCTATTTAAAATTTTGTCAATTTTGATTGAGAGAATGAATCATTTATTTTTTAGGCTTTTTTATGTAACGAGCATTAATGGTACGTTTTATGGGCAATTGATTTCGTGATCAATGACCCTGATCATGATGTTCCTGATTTAGCCATAATTGCATGATCCATTTTGCGGTACAGATCACGTCCAATTCACTCTGAGCTGTTTATACAAAACAGTGGAATATCAGACAATTGTCGCATCGCGCTGATGCGGATCAGTGAAAGTGCGTCGGTCCCGCGCCGTTGCGCATTAAATGCAAATAATTGTTGGCGGCACAATCATTAGCATTTAATTCCACCACCAACAATGATTAGCGTAGTTTCGTTTCCATGAACCATAACAAGCCACGTGTCCCCCCACCAGCACCAGCGATAATGTTTTAAATATTAGTTAATTTAAATTTATTATAAAACATTTAATTAACATAATTTTCATAAAATCATAAAAAATAAGTACTACTCCAAAAAAATAAGTGCAATAATTTTTCTCAGAATTTTAAGTACTTTCATTTAAAATTAAAATTGAACAAAAAATATTTCATATATTTTAAATAATATCAATTAATAATTGTTTGATATTTAATTAATTTTTCATTAAATATACATCCAAATAATTTCAAATTTTGAGAAAAATTATTTTAACATGTTTTCAGTCTCTAATGAATATTTGAAAATTATTTAAATTTAATTTTAATATTATTTTGAATTTACATAAATTTAAGGTTATGTTTAATATTTAATTATTTCAAAATGTATTTTAATTGCATATTTTAAATCCTTTGCATGCATTTAGATAGGGTATGAGATTTCAAACATAGATTCATTATTCTTAAATGGATTTAGTAGGGATTGATTAATGTGGAATTATGTTTCAATTGCCCATTCTTTAAGTTTTTCAATTATTTAAGCTATTTCTTGATTTTTTTAAGATTGCATATACATCTAGTTCTAGGTTTCTTGATTGATGCATGTGATGTAATGCACTTATGTTTGTTTGAAGGGTTAGTGATATTAATTTTAAAAACTATACAACTTAGTGTCACGTAAGGACAATAATTAAGGACATGTCTTAGAAATTTAAAAAAAAAATCTAGAAAATTAAATAAGCATCCAATATGGGTGAAATTTAAAACATTTTAACTTAGTGAACATTCAATGATTTTAAAATTCATTAAGTCAAATATTTAATTAACTCAAAATTAATTCATTAATTAAGCTTGAAACTTAAAAAAAAATAACAATAAATTTAAATCAAATTATAAAAATACAAATAATATATT